ATGTGACCATGTGGCAAAACATATGAAGAACGGCGCGACAATAGACCAGTGGAAGTACTCGAATGTCATTCGGAATCTGATTCGACAAGAAGCTCTCTACGATACATGGAAGGAATTGATCTCCTGTTTGGACGAAAGGCTCCGAGAGAGCCGCTCACAGATCAGCTGGTGTCCTGACAACACGCGGATCCTCCGACAGAAGCTTCAATGCTGTGATCTCCGACCAAGCCGTGAAGAGGTTCTCATCACTGCCTTGAGCCTGCGTTCTGACATGCAACTAGATCCTGTCGACCAACAGCTACCCCCAGGTTTTGTCACGCCATCCAGGGACTCTGTACCAAATGTCGAAAAGTTATCACGCGAACAGCGGATGCATGTTCTCATTGGAAATTCTGATCCGCACATTGCACGGGCTCGCCTTGCAACTGTCAATGCGGCATTGGTTCGCGCCATCAACTCGTTATCGCATGTACCCAGTTACGATTGCGCATCTTCGCCATTTATGGAGCCACAGTCGCCTGCTCGCGACAACACAAACCACCGTATCAGTTACATGGATGTGGATCCTGGAGATTACCTTGATGTAGCGCAACCGGCTATACCCGATCTCCCACCGGCTATGACTACGGCCGCAATGCACACACCAAATACACACACCCCAATCATGGATCAGACTCAGCAAGCTCAAATGTACCCTAATGAGTACATTGATCAGGCCAAGACTGCCCCTAACCCATTGGAGGCACTGTACCCGAATTATTTCGGCGGTGCGCCTCAATTCGAAGAATCACAGTACTACGACCGCCCGTCAATTGGTCAGCTGATCACGAAACCCCTTCATAAGATTGGTAATCGATTCAGCGCGTCTAGGAGCAGTTCCACTCATTCCAGGCCGTCATCGAGTATGAGCCAAACCATGCCAGACATGAACGGAGATTATCCTATTGCAGTAATGGGCATGCGGCACACACCTGAGCCGCAGCAACAACAGCAGCAGCAGCAGCAGCAACCGTCTCTTCACCAAATGCAACATCAACAACATCTCCAACATCAACAGCATCTTATGCACCACCAGCAACAATCATTTCGCCATTTGACACCTCAGATGCATGACCAATTGCATATGTATGCGACGCAAAATTAGAAGAAAAAAAAACGAAAACAAAAAAGGACGTGTAACGATATGCCTCATATACGACTCACGCCCCTACGCAACCTTTTCTTCCCTATACGCTTTTTTTCTTTTCCTTTGTGTCCGACAGCGAGCATATAGAAGAGTGAGAGAAAGCCTTTTTTGGCTTTCGTTTCGTTTCTTTTTCTTTGATACCCCACCTACCCCCACTGATGTGCTTTTCTTTTCTTGTTTTTCGGAAGGGAAAAGCCACGCTATGAGAACCATTATAGAGTTTTTTTGTGTGTATTGCATAGTCATATTAGATTGCTCCCACTATCATCGAGCTTGAAGGGCTCAGCATCACCGCCACCGTCACTGCTGTACGCAGCTATTTTTCCTTTGTCGTTATTGTTTCAATTCTTCCAATGTATTTTAGGATTTTGGGATGGGTAGAATGGATGTGTTCGGACTTGATGCGAGGCAATGTGTTTCTCTTTTTTTCCCTCCAAGTTGTATACCTGAGATGACTTGACGAGAAAGAAAGAGAAAAAAAGTTCGATGCCTGGTATCTCTTTTTTCGGCCGTTTGGTAACTTAGCAACAATTGAATACCCCCCATATCCTACTCTTTAAAGCTCGCGTCTTGTTAAATTGTTGGTGACTTGAAAACATGGAACCGGGTAATAGAACTGAGCGATCTGGCCGCCTAGTGGCTATCAAAGTCATTACGTCTTCACCTTTATTACTGTCCTAACAAGGTCTCACTCTACAGCTTTCAGCCACAACAATCGCACAGTTTTTTTTTCCTTTTTTACGCTGACGAGAAAGTCATTTGACTTGACTCACTTACACCGGGATCTAGCAAACCGTCGGAGTTGAAACCTTTGTAAGACTCCAGCACTACTTTCTCATTCTAACATCCACATACATACACACTAGAGACAAAATCTGGGTACCTACCACTCCTTCATACTGCCCCAAAGGCGAATATGGCGTAAGCATATACTCCACACCACTGAAACAGCAATTTCCTCCTATAAACACACACACACACACACATACCTCGTCAATACTCTTACATCCCTATCTCTCTTCCAACCCACCCATGTATCCATATCCCCACAGGTAATAACCGTACTTTTAGCCCGTTTTCTAATCTACACATCATTACCCAAAACTAATCTCTAGAGACACGGGGGGATATCAAATCGTTTTACGTCGTTCTCAGGTCGTTCCTTGCCGTTATGTAGAGTTTTCGGGTAGTAGTAGCAAAAAGGTCTTTATACATTTGTATATCTTTTGAATAAGAGACTAGTTTAGATATCAAGGGCGGAGCAGTCTTCGTGGGGGAGTTGTTTGGTATGAGTAGTGAGTAGGGATGGAGGGTCACGGAAGTAGTAGGGTAGGGTGGGTAAGAGGGGAGAGGTTGATGAGGGGAGAATAAGAGTGGGATTCGTCTAGCTTTTATATATCTATCGCTTCTTTATACAGAAGACTGCTTAGAGTATTAGGGTTAGGATTAGGGTTTTTATATATAGCTAAGAATCTATCGGGCTAATATGCTTAGCGCTCGCAAATACCTTTTTTCAAGAAGCGCTCTCTGGGCTATATGCTCTGGCACTTCTTTACTTGGCAGAGTGTTCCCCTTCCTCAGCGAGAGACCAAGCTACGGAATCGCCGCATCGCGGTGATTTTGTTATTTTGTGATGTGGATGTCGGTTGGGCATTCGCCCTTCTGTCCTTTGTTGGAGCGAGAATCTTTTTCTTTTGTGACATGCAGTCAAGCGAACAAGTTATTACCAGTACGATCAGGGTACTTAAGATACTCAGGTGTATTGCAGGTAGATTAAGTGACCCACATACTTTGCCTTGGTATATTGGCAGTGTACGATAGAATTTGTAGGCCGAGGTGTATGTGCTGCTGTTGTTTTAGATGCGGAAAATGGAGTTTCAAGCTTGATCTTTTGCTTTTGTTACGTGAAACGGTGCGGGGTGTGGATGCGCGTGTGATGTAGATTGATTAGACATGTTAATACGACAGAAAGAGAGAGGGATCGTATGAAGCAAGCGTAGGCTGGTCGATGTTGTGTTAAAGGGGTGGTATAAAGCTGGATGAAGAAACGTATCGCTGTTCCAGGCAGCCCTAGAATGGTATACATGCAGCGACTTCACCCTTTTGTTAGCTCTTGCGCACGACCACTCTTTGATGTGATAGCTTGTAAGGGATTCGTCTAGAGAGCGTGACAAGTATACAGTTATAGTAAGTTACAGGGCATTGTGACGTCTGTTTTTCGTATCGACTACGCAAGGAAAAACTAAGTCTGATACTGCACTAGCATGGCACGGGAAAGCCTTGTTTGAATGCCTAACTCACCAGAGAAGAAAAGGTAGGAATCTACAGTCGCACGTAGACCAAGAGTGGATCATGGATACCAAGAGTGGATCATGGATACCAAGAGTGGCGCCATACGGGCTCGGCAGCCTGGGCAGAAGACGTGCAGCGGAGATCCCGCGGGTCTCGAATTCGTGCATATGCAGCTTTTGCAGGCGAGAATGGGGCGGAAGGAGATAGTGTCGGTAGCCAATTGCCATTGTCATTATAAAATACTAATTTTGTCCACCAAGTTCTCGGGATACTAGTGGCGAGTTGGCGAGTGGTTCTAGTGGTAAGCTGACTGGGAAATTCCTAGGTTGACGAGCAGAAAGTCGTAGGAATGCGCACAATTGCAGATCTTGGTACAGCAGAGTAAGACTTTACGGTCGCTTCTCGACATGTAAAGTCTGCCGAGTATTAGAATACCAAGGCTATAGGTATACAGTGGTGCTTCATGACGTTGGCACATGGCGGGTTTCAAGGAGCCAAGTGACGACAAATAGGCTTCATTCTGGGCTGTCTGGTGCAGAGTGCTTGGCGTACATTGGACTGAAGCACATGGGCTGATGTTTGTGGTGGGAGACGTGCCTGTCTGGACATGGACTATGATATACATGTGGTGTGGGTGGGTCCGAAAAAGGCAACGTCTCCTGTAGATTGAGTGATGTCGAGGGAAGCGACACAGCTTGTTTTAGAGACAAGGCATGTCATGATACATAAGGTAAGCTCGCTGAAGACTGCCATGGCGAAGTCCGGATTGCTTAACGGATATGCGGCAAGGCGGAACAACGAGTTTCTGCTGTGGCGTCGAACAACAGCGTCGAGTACTGTCTTCCTCTCGTGAATTGTAAGCTTGTAGATTGAACGCATGCTTCAAGGGAGTACTCTGATTGGTGGGCGAACAGGAGTAGAGTAGTAGAGCGAGAGACTTGGCGGTAGCAGAAATTTCGAAGGCGGACTGGGAAATTTCCTGGGCGGACTTGGCGGAATGCATGGCAAACTGCCCCGGGCGCGACATGGAGGACAACGTGCTGATATCCCCAACTCTCGTTCGTCCACACTCAATCTCTGGCCCCCACTGCCATGATCTGGCTCCACCTTACGCGACCCTGATGCGTAAGTAAGTCGCGTGCTCCCGCTCAGCTCCTTTACATTTGGCTGGTCTACTGGTCCATACACGCCAGTGGCATGCCATTATGCCATCCACAATCCTGCTAGAGGCCCAGAAAAATGGATCCTGTTGGGCAATAGGTTGTGGCCAGGGCTAAACAGCATGATGCCGTGGCTGGAACGATCCACTTTGCCTCGCCGTCTGATACTCACCTACCGCGGCCTTTTCATTCACTTCCAGGCATCCTGGCATGGATCTCATGCAGTTGGGTTCCCACATACCCAATAACAACATTATCTATATAAGATCCGTTGCAATCAATCTATCCAAAGGTTCCTCATCCTGATCACCTCCTCTTGTCCCAGTTCCGAAGGCGCAACAGCTCGCCGTCCTTGCTCAACTATGGCTCCCGCCTTGAAGAAGTACAACTGGATCCTTGCCATCACTACCATTGCCTTTGTCTTCTCATCGGCCTCCAACGGTGCCAACGATGTCGCCAACTCCTATGCCACCTCGGTGGCTGCCCGCACCCTGAAGATGTGGCACGCCGGTATCCTCGCCTGCTTCACAGAGTTCTTCGGTGCCGTCGCACTCGGTGCACGTGTCACTGGTACCATCAAGGGGGGCATCTTTGACCTTGACACTTTCAAGCCTGCGCCTGCTACACTCATGCTGGCTATGGGTTGCGCTGAAGTCGGATCTGCCACCTTCCTCACCATCGCCACCTTTATGGGTATGCCCGTCTCCACTACGCAAACCGTCGTCGGTGCCCTTGCTGGTGCTGGTATTGCTGCTCAGTCGCCTCTTAGCTGGGGCTGGAAGAAAGGTTCCATCTCGCAAATCGCTGCCTCGTGGGTAATTGCACCATTCATCTCCGCTGCCTTCTCGGCTGCCCTGTTCTTGACTGTCAAGTTTGGTGTGCTCCACCGAAAGGACCCTCTCAAGTGGGGTCTCCGCCTAATCCCATTCTACCTTGCTTTTACTGCTGCTATTCTCGCTCTGTTCATCATTGACGAGAATCCAAGAGGTGAGAGCCTCGAGGAAATGGGCTCTGGCAAGGGCACTGGTCTTATCCTCGGTGTCTTCTTTGGTGTCCTTGCCATTGGGTACATCTTCTTCGTTCCCTACTTCACTCGCCGTCTTGTCAAGGGCGACACTAGAATGAGGTTCTGGCACATTCCTCTCGGCCCTCTTCTCTACCGCGAGAACATTCCAATCTACTTCCCCGGCAAGGGAGACCAGATTGTCACCGACTACTATGCCAAGGCAGCTCCCGCAGACAGTCTGGCTAGTCAAGACAAACTCAAGGGTGAAAAGGAAACTGCTCATTCCACTTCTTCCGACAAACAGCCCGCCACCAGTGGCGACAACCTTGACATTGAGCGTGCCGGCCGCGGTCTTTCCAACCCCCTCCCTCCTAGCGAAGGTCCTATTGTCCACCTTGTCCCCGCCACACCCGAGCCAGAGGAGCGCTGGTTGGAGCCTGTCAAGCACCTGCCTTTTTACTCACCCAAGAAGATTGTCAACTGGACCAAGTTCCTTCTCCTCCAGGGTGTTTCTCGCGATGTCGTTTCTCAGAAGGGTAAGTTACATCGCCTCTCCGTTCCACTTGACGATGTCTAACACACATATTCAGATCTCGGTGCCATCCACGCACGCGCAATTGTCTACGACAACCGCGTTGAGCATCTCTGGACATATGCTCAAGTTGCCTCTGCCATGATGATGTCCATTGCTCACGGTTCCAACGATGGTAAGCTAACAATCTATACTTATCTCCCACCTACATGCATCAACACCTGCTAACGTTTATATTTCTAGTCGCTAACGCAGTCGGTCCCTGGGTAGGCTCCTACGACACCTACACCACTGGCGTCGTCACTAAGGAAGCCAACACCCCCATCTGGATTCTCATCGTTGCCGGTCTCCTCCTCGGTCTCGGCTTCTGGTTCTACGGCTACCACATTATCCGCGCCCTCGGCAATAAGATCACTCAGGTCTCCCCTACCCGTGGTTTCTCCATGGAACTCGGTGCTGCCATTACCGTCCTGCTGGCTTCTCGTCTCGCTCTTCCTGTTTCCACCACTCAATGTCTGACTGGCGCTACTATCGGTGTTGCCCTATGCAACTTTGATCTGAAGGCTGTCAACTGGAAGCAAGTTGGTTTCATCTTCTCCGGATGGATCATTACCTTGCCTTCTGCGGGTCTGATTTCTGGTCTGCTGATGGTTATGGCTTTGAATACGCCGCACTTTTAGTCGTGTTTCAATTTCTTTCCTCTTTTTATTTTCTTTTCTCGTCCTTTCTAAAATCGGGATTCTTAGCGAGAGCGATATGGAAAAAAGTGTCTGTAAGTTAAGACACGCGGTATGATTCCAATCAGGTATCACGTACTTATGAAAGTACTACAACATATAGACTCGTAATGACCAACATCGAAATTTCAAACTCGCTTCAGACTTTTTGGTTGATGCTATGAATTTTATTTCCATTTACGATATGAGATATTTATACATGATAATGACTCCTGAGCCAGAACCGGAATATAGAAGCCAGAGCGGTGTAGATCCAACGACGCGTAGATACAACCATCGGAACAAGAAAAAAACATATCAAAGGAAAGAAAAAGATTTACAAAAAGGTGCGAATAGCATAAACCCCCTCCTACACAGCCTTTAAGCAACAACCTCACCCAAAACACCAACAACATAACACACAGCCGCCGCCCAAATCGCTGTCTTGACAACTCCCGCCCCGCGTCCCTTCTTCTTCGTACTCCCCGCCGTTGAGCCCTTCGCACTCTCCTCCGGATCAGCACCAGACCCCAGCACCACCCGCTCCGCCGCGCGTCTCCGCTCCTCAAATTCCTTCTCTAGCTGCTCGCGATTCTCTTCAGGTCCTACATATCCCGTTGGGGAGAGACGCGTAGTACCATCGATTGGGTTCACGGTTCCTGCACGCTGGACATCGCATTCATCTGCGGTGTTGCTGTGCTCGGGTGCATTCAGAGCCTTGGGGGTGCTGGAAGGAGATGGGTCGAGTACGTTGCGTAAGATGAGCATGTCTGGTTTTGCGGTTACAATTTCCCAGTCTGGGGTTATGTGGGGGATGAATTTTGAGGGGGAGGAGAGGCTTGCGAGGGCGGTGTGGAGGGGGATTGTGGGTGAGGGGTCGCGGGGTGGTGGGGAGGTCGAGGTTGTGTGGGTGAGGGTGTTGGTTTCTGCGTTGTGGATTAGGATGGTGTAGTGGGTTGGGAGGTTAGCAGTTGGAATGGCGGACGAGGTTGCTGTTGTAGAGGTCTCAGTGGCGGGTTCTGGAGATGTTTGCGTGAGTTGAGGTGTTGGAGTAGAGGTTTCGGTCGAGGCCTCGACTTGTGCGCTGGTAGCCTCGTTCTCTGCAATTTGTGAAGTGGTGATTTCAGGCTCGGGCGCCTGGGTAGCGCTGGCCCCTACTGGAATCTCCTCACTGACTGTAGGGTTGTCTTTCAACATCTCAAACTTCTTAACAGCATTCTCTTGGTCATGTTTTACTTCATCAGCAGTGTCCAGCTGCTGGGGGTCAGCAATAATTGGCCCATAAGTATCTTCGTAAGCCTTTTGCACTTCAGCGACCAGCTCAGCATCGTTGTACTTCTGTTCCACTTCCTCGGGTTTGGACACTTCAATTCTTGAAGGCAATTCACTACCCAGACTCTCCAGCACCGGTCCAAAGGGTCTGTAGAGGCTGTGGTCAAGCGGGCTACGCTCCTCAAATGACTTCTTCGCCAGGGCCTTTGGCTCACGCACATACCCATCGTCTGACAGTCCGCGCATTGCTAACTTTTGTGCATCAACCTCGTTGGCAAGGTGTTCTTCAGCCGCTATTCTAGCACGAAGCTGGGCTTTGTCGATCTTGTTCATACTGGGAGACAACTCATGAGACACTTGCCCATGCTCACTTGGCGTATTCAGAATGCTTTGGTCCATCGATTCGGCCTTCTCCACAGTCTGTGGCACTACCCCGTATACCAACATAGCACGGTCCACCAGTCGAGACAGAGCCATTTGGGTATCCCTCAGCGTCAGTAAGCTGTTAGCCACAGCTTTGTAGTTTACCAGCATGCTTCGGTCGATCTCCGGGTCCTCGAGACGAGCTTGCAGACTCCAAATCAAATACCGTGTGAGATGAGCGTTTTTCTGGATGATCTTCGCTGACAAGCCGAGCCGTTGCTTGAAAGCCAAGGGAGGATTCTTGGCAGCTTCGGATTTGCCGATCTCCTCCAAAGCCGCGTAAGCCTTGTTCAGATCATTGTCTGTGTCCTGATACTTTAAACGCAGGGACTGTATCGCTCGGACCTTCTTGGGCGTCAACGAGTGCATCTTGGCGCTACCTGAGCGTTGTCGCAAAGCATGGATTGCAGAGTCCAAGACGTCTTCGTCGGCTTTCATGCGTTTTAACAGTGCTTTGGACGCAGGAATATCTGTCTCTAGATCTTCAATGACTTGTCTCATAGTTGAGCGTCCCTTGCGAATACGCTCGAGCACCCTGTCGAAGAACAAGCGAGTCTTCTTTGCGTCTGCTTCCTCTGTTGGATCTTGCCAGAAGTAGCTGGAGAATATAGCACCACCCTGCTCGAGCCAAGATTTCATACGCTCAATACTAGACTCCATTTGGGCCTCGTTTGCCAGCGTCGATGTCTGATCAGTTTTTGTAGTCGGCTGAGGTTCATCGATCTCCTTTGGCTCTTCTGGTATCTGCATCTTACGCTCTATGCGGCGAACAAGTTGATCATTGATGATCTTCGATTCAATCATCGGGTCCACTTCGTTTGTCTCGGCGTGTGCTTCAGCAAAAGATTTTTCTAAGTTTTCTCGTTCTGTTTTCCTTTGTTCGTCGCTCAGGATTTTACTCTTCTTCGTACCCATGGACGCGCGGATCTCAGCTGCACTCAAGAAGTCAATATCATCTTCAGGCAGTTGACTGAGTGTCTCTGATGTTGACCTAGTAGGTACAGCGTGATCTTTTGGTGAATACACGTATTCGTTGAGCGAGGGCTTTTGTTCTTCGTGCACGTCTGCGACAAGTACAGCTTGCTTCACTTGTGGCGCTGTAGAGTTCTCATCTATGGTTGCAGCCGGCGGCATAGTTCCAGCTTCTTTGACGACTGGCAGGATACTTGAAGGCTCATTGTTGACGCCTTTCTTTATCACATCGTCTCGCAATAGACGCCTCTGTAGCGCAGTTTCCTTCCAAGTAGAAACCTTCGGAGTGTCGACGTTTGGTTCATCTTGTGAAGGCTTTTCCGTAAGAAACCCATCCATGAAAGAAGCCCCTTGGGATGTTGTAGGCTTGCTCATTTTATCGATCTTGCCTATGGCATCCGAATTCGACTTTGTTATGTAATCGCTGAAGGACTGTGTACTCTTCGGTGGTGTCGGAGGCGATGATTCGAAAGTGTTAGATGCATTTGATGAGGAGGTGGGAGATTGGGGCTTGAAAATGGATTGGGTACTCGCTTCTATACTTTCCCCAATGACTGTAACGTGAAGTTGCTCACTCGGCCTTCTCAGGTCCGAGGGTGAGACAATAGCACGGGCATCGTCACCGCCGATTTGCGTGGCCCTGAAGGAAGGCTGCGGGAAGTGGGATTCCCTCTTTTTGGAGATACCTGACCCTTCATAGTCCATGTCTTCTTTCTTCGCATTTCTCTTCGAAGAGTTCATGTTTTTTTCTCTTTTTGGTTGCGGCGTGGCATCTCCATAGTCGTTCGTCTCCCTCAGCATCCATTTGGGAAATGAGTTGCTAATCCACTCCCAATCTTTTAATCCCTTCCCACTCAGCATACTATTGCTCGCACCGAAGAGAGCTTGATATGGGTCCTCCATCAACTTCTTTCGCCACCGCTGATAGTGTTGCAATTGTGCCCACTCGAGATTGGACAGGCCCGGTGGGCGATTGGTGCCCTTATCGTCTCCATGTTTTGCATTTTGCGATGGTGTGCGAGAGAAGCCTCGAGTACGAAGAGCAGCCTCGTGGGAGCGGAGTAGACGTTGCGCGTAGCGCTGGACAGGGGAGATGGCCGAGTCGCGACGCCACCAAGTCATTGTCGAAGTAAATAAAAGGGCGAGTTTGGCGAGGGGTAAGACGAACAATGATTCAAGTTAACCACTGTAAACTCTTATGTCAGCTTATATAACTACATATTGGAAGTATAGTTACCGTTGTATCAATCCAAGCTTCACTGCAAGGCACCAGCGGCTCCTCGGAGCAGGGCTGATACAGCGACCAATGGTCACATGAACTGATGGGTTGATCTAACGGGGTGAAATAAATATAGGTATTCTAAGCATTGGAGTCTACGTCAGGGTCGACACAGGCACGATATGAGAGGGAAAGACTCGAAGAAGAGCAGAGAATCAGGCGACGTGCTTTCAGGGAGCAGTGGCGTCGCCGTATCCCCGCGCAAGCTCCGGGCGGCCACTTATCATAGTTCGCGGGGTACGTTGGCTTGCGCGTGACCGGCCTTGGTCGCGTCATTATTTGCTGATATTGCCTGTTGTGTCTCTGTGCGTAAATGCAGATATTCCATCTATTGTTGTGCAGATACTCGCAGTGAAGCCTTGATTACATTCGTGGGCTTTCAGGGGCTGATGATGAGGTTGGACGTGCAGTCGCGTCGCGCCTTCCCCGCAGCCTTCGATAAGGCGATAAGGCAGCGACGCTAGTGGGGCCCGTCAGTGGCGACTTCTCCGGTTGAGTTATGGAGGTGTATTTCCTTTCGAACAATATAGAATTTCAGGCAATCGTCACTTAAAAATCCACATTTAAGAGATCGAATTAGTGGTTCTTGGAGCGAGGCTTAGGTAGTGTCTAATGCATTAGGTACACGAACTAATCGTGTAATTCTAATCATCTACAGCTGACATGAACAAAGACGCCTTCCCAATGCCAAATCATTACTTGCCATACATGCACAACCAAGTCCGGCAAAAGCTACACGGAAACTGCGCGCCAGCGACGATTTCGCTTCCTCAATCTGCCTGGTTCTCCAATAACCTCCTCTCTTCATCCTCAACCTGCTTCACCTTGACCTCTTCTTTACTCGCTTCCTTCTGCAAACTAACTGCAACTGCCGCTGCGATAATAAGCGCCGCGCCCACCAGACTCTCCACAGGTGGCGTAGTACCCCAGATGAGTCTCTCCACTATGAGGGCAAATACTAGTTGTACATATGTCAAATTTGTAGCTCGGCCACCCTTTTCCCTTTGCAAGCCCTCGGTAAGCAAAAACTGTAGCAAAAACCCAAACACACCAATGATGGCAATGAAGCCCCATTGCAGCATAGTAGTAGGAAGGACGAAATGCAAATCTGGATGCACCATGATAATGATGAACGAAGCCAACGTCGCGATGACGGAAAAGTAATTCACCGATACAAGGGAATGCGCGCGTTTTCCTATGACGCGAATCGTGGCATAGGCAGTGCTAGCTCCTAGTGTACCGGCTATGGCAACCAGGATGGCGAGAGCGCGCTGTTCAGGACTGACGGAGGGGACTGGAACTTTTGGTTCATCGGAAGAAGGGCGGTGAGTCTGCGGGAATAACCAGGGCGGACGAGCCACGAAGAGGACTCCCGTGAAGGCGATAAGACTGCAGAGCGCTTCCTTCCATGTAAAGGGCTCGCGGAGCCAGAGGAAACACACTATAGCTGTCGTGGTAGGAACGATGAAAGTGATTACGGTAGCATCGGCGATTTCCAGCCAAGATAGAGAGTCTGAAGAAGGAGTCAGTTGATTAGTCTTTCTTTTTTTTTCCTTTTTGTGTTTTTATATTCGTTCTGCTAGGAATAGCTGGCCGAAGAGGTGCAGCAAGGATGCGACATCGACTTACAATATAATCCAAACAAGCCGAAGAAACCTGCTGTACCACGAAGTACTAAGAGCCATCGAATGTCTCTCTGTCCAAAAGGAAAGTCAGGTATGCCCTTGTACCAAGAGTATATCGAGCAAATGATACTCGTACATAGCATGCGGATGAAGATGATTTGCAACGCATGAAACTTTATACTAGGGTCGTTTGCCAGCAACTTTGCCGCTATGTTCATCTGCATTATGGCCGGTTAGTCAAGGCTTGTCCAAGGCAAAAGATGAGGACATGGAACTTACCACAGACCCGCATGTCTGAGCAAGAAAGACGAGAAAGAGACCAAAATTACGGTCGTAAAAACTTTTGAATCTCGATCCCGCTCTTTCTAATAATGGTACATCCTGCCTTTCGGAGCTCGCATCTTCATCAGCGTGAGTTGACGATGCAGGCGCTGGTAATGTGTCCGGAGCAAAGCGCACCTGGGCACGTTCAGTCGCCGGCGGCACCTCTTGTATTGTGCCGTATGTCATTATTTGGTAGATATCGTCCAAGGACAGTAAGACAAGATCACGCGAAGCTGGAGTGTAAACTGCCTTTTAAGAGAGCTGATGCTCTAGTTGCTTTCAACTGAGCGAAAAGTCAAGTCCTACTGGCCGCGTGACCCACAAGTGGGTCAAGCCCTCTTAGTCCGACGAAATACTCGGATAAAAAGTACACCCACCAAAACAGCGCGATCTTAACAAGGTGTAACTGTGTATTAGTGTTGTAGAGTATTGATCTATACCTGAAACTCTAGAGCTTTATATAGAATTTTATTTCAAAGACGTCGTGGTGAGTGCAGCTAATTGCAAATGGTAGCTTTGTTTTGATGGGAGCTATTTTAATCCGGGTATTCCGTCGAACCAAAAGCGAGCGCATGCATGCTTCAAATTAGTCCGAAGCTCATGCCCGACATGCGACGAACTCACGTTATGGATGTCAGGCTCGAGGTATCATTTCATCGTCAATTAGAATTTACACTTGTTCATGTCCTTTCTAGATTTCTTAGGTAACACCATGACTGTGGAACTGTTGGGCAGGCTAGCGTGCACCGACACACGGCTGGGTATATTCTATTTCCAAACTGCTGTCATCGAAATAAGCTTAAGTACCCGCCCTTAGCCAAGTCACCGTCGACCGAAGCTTTATTCTACCGCACTGACCTATGACAGGTACGACACATCAACCCAGTCCTTGTAGTTGCTTCCCAATATCTCGCCAATGCTGAGAGCAGCTTTGAGAGTCTGCCCAAATGATCTTTTACCCGAGGCTCCTGAACCAGTGTTTTGGTATTCGCCAAAAAGCACATGATCAGTTCTTGCGTCGCCGGTGTTCCAGGCCGCCCAGCCCTTGGGATTGATGACGTTGCTGAGGTCGGTTTGCTGGAACACAACACGGGCGTAGTTTCCCCATGGGCGACCAAGGTAGTAGGTACCGGCTGAGACGGTAGCTCCATTAGCATGTGATACCTTGGACTTGTTGATGACATAGTATGACGGATTCGTGTCGGCTGCGCGACCGTTGGCAGTGATCCAGCCGACTTGAGCGCTGAGAACACCGATATCACAGCCATCAAACCATGCCCTAGCTTGTTGGCCAAAGATGAAGTCGGTGGCACCCTCAATGTAGGATTTCGCATAGATTTGATTACCGAGCTGGGCCAGCACGGTGTCTTGGTAGCCTTTGAAAACGCAGCCGTAGTAGCCTTGCTTGTCAGCCCATGCGCTCACAGCAAGCGCTTGGGATCCCTGGCCACGGGTGTTGACAAGATTGATATTGTAGACTTTTAGATTGGGTGTGTGCGCACGAAGTGTGGCAGTCTCGTCGTTGGAAGGGGTATCGTTTTGACTTTTGCGCTGGGTGATGGTTACAGTATTTCCGCTGTAAGATCTAGTATCTTTGGTCTCGCCATAGATTGTCAAAGGCGAATTGAGTTGCTGGATGTAGACCTGTTCCGTGTAGGTACCTTTGGCGATGAATATGCACTGAGCCTTCGAGGTGGACTTGTCGAGGGCGTTGACTGCAGACTGTACAGTTTTGTATTTACCATTTCCACCTACGGTCAGACAACCGGCAGGGGCTGATGTTCGTTCAAAACTCGCACGACGAAGCACATTTTCAGCAGGCGCTGCAGCAGTGGCAACGACAAGCGAAAGGAAGAATGCCAAAGTCGCACGCATTGTAAACAGGAAGAAAGGAGAGGTGAAGGTGCCCAGCAACCAAAGGCATACGGACGCGCATATGTATGATTTCAACCCCTGGAGTCTTTCAAAGACCATTGGTCCATCGGTACAACCTGCTGATTCATTTGAGTAAGTATGTGCCTTTCGGTGCTATCGTATAAGAGGGGTCCGGCCCGTGTTCCTAGTTGTCACCCGCGTATGCCCAAGGCTGCATGGATCGTGCGCGTTGCCACCCTGGTATTGTTTTTCCACAATGGAAAATCTTGAACAACTTGGGCGGATTACCGGAGATTTTGCGGATCCCTCCGCATATGCTTTATTGATATTAAGGCCGGCTCATGTTTCGGGCTGTGTACCAAACGGCGCTTAGCTGTACGTGTGGCTTGGATGCATGACCGCAAAGAGTGACGCGGCGGTGGAAATGGACTTGCTAGGCGCTCTCACGTGACTGGATCTTGCACTAAGACAGTGGACAGCTTCCAGCAAGGTGCCTTGATGAGGACGGCTATGCGACGCTGTGACTAGCCATCTACACTTGAGTGCTATACTCGTGTACAAAGCGCTACACATATGTGTTACTTTGTGAACCCAAACTTTGAGTAAGACTCAAAGTAGCACAGAGAACTCCTTTTCAATCCAATTATCTGTAGTCATGCATACACTGATGCAGTAGTTATGCCGCGTGCTGAGCACCTCAATCTGCTAAATCTAGTTAAGTCTCTCTTAGTACTTGTTACTGATTGAATCTACTTAAAACTTAGTACATTGGTAGTGGATTCATACAGAAAGACACGCTAGATCCAATCAGGCCATACTAGCTCCCTATCGGCTTTCGGCCATGTCAGCGCCGAAACTTCCCATCGAAGCATGACATGGCAGCAAAACACCCGCATCGACTTTGAACACGTCGTGTTGTAATTGGCCTTTTTCGGTCATCTCTATTCTTATCGAGCCATGTCGCAATCACAAAGGAACGGGCCGGAAACTGATACAATCGACCTCACGCTTTCCTCCCCGGAGCCAGAGCCTTGGCCTCAATCACCCACAAGAGAACAAATACGCGCGCCTCCGCAGCAATCTCATCTATCTTTTGGACCGACCTACAACACATCACGCGTTAAGCAGGAGTCTGATCATGTTCCACGAATTAAATCGGACCCGGGTCAGCCATCACGCATCCAGACCGCATCTACCCAACCATCACGTGTCGTAATGGATTTTGGCCAATCAGCCACTTCTAGCCGGAATCTTGTAGCTCCACAGCAAGCCCGGCCGATCAATCCCAGTCACATCCAGTCGATAATTTCAACCGTCAACCCATATGCATTGCAAACAGTATTGGTAGAGCTTTGTCAAATCTCGCCTGCATTCTCTGGCGCGCTTGTACGGGGTTTAGCACCTCACTCGACCTCCGCACGGAACATGATTAACCAACGCCGAATGGAAATCGATCGAAATGCTGCTTATGAAGCTGTGAATACCATATCCAGTTCCGGTCGTTACGGCTCTCAAGTGAGCCAGAGGAGTTATACTAGACAACATCCGTACAGCTCCCATTCAATACCGCGAATAAAACGCGAGCCGTACAGGCCTTCAACCCCTAGCTCTGATAGTGAGTTACGTCGTCCAGGTCCTTCTTCTCAAAAAGCAGTGCGTCCAGCTGCAATACGGACGCCGTTACATCACCTGGCTGGAGGCTCACCCTCTTCCAATATCACCTCAAATGTAGCTACTGCAACTCAGCGAGCAGATGAAGTCCAGAGAGTGATTCCAAATGTAACCAAGACTTGCACCAAGTGCCATGAGTCGTTCTCAGGCGATTCTGAGCCCTGCATATACCATCCAGGGAGGAAAGTCAAGCGAGAAGACGGAACAATAGTTTGGAGCTGTTGTCAGGAGGACATGTTGTCTGTCGGTTGTGACTTTGGAGGAACTCATACCACCCAAAATCACGAGCCTGAAGACATGCCCACCGAGCGGAAAAGCTTAAGCGGGTCTTCAGTCTCCAATCAGTATCCCGAGAGGCTACTTGAGCTGCTGGGAGGGACCTCTGCTGCAAGCAGACGCGATTTTGGTTGAGAGCTTAAACCCACATAACTCACGCCAGGAGAGCAATCTATAGCAGTTTGCGTGAATTGACTAGCTCAGTTCAACCCAAAGGGAGACAAGCATCAGCATCCTCAATATCTCTTCCCGCAAGCTCTGGTACTGGCTTTGGGTCGCATGACTGGATGAATTTGTGGAGTCAGACAACGGGTGTCCGATCGTTTATCCACGATAGCTAAAAGTCTTTTCAGCATGCGCATCTAATGCATCACTTCCAACCTCAAGCCACACCACTGCCATTCAGCATTCGGATAATTCTCAACATCAAACCCAAAATATGTTACCACCAACTTGTAATTGAAACTGGCCTTGTATCCGATGGGTCCTGGATTGAAGACTACCCAGATGCTTACGTTGAACTCTCGAGTAGTTTTCCTGTTGCCGCATTACCAGGTCCCAGATATTCGTCTTATTGCCCTTTTGAACTGAAAAATACTAATTGAGAGCGAGCAAGACTTGATACTGTTTCGATATACTTACTGAGAGGAACGAGATATTAGCTGTAAGCGGTCGGCATGAAAGTCACCCTAGGCGTGTTTATTTGCTTGTGGATCTTGTCTTTGACCTTGTCGATGCTGGTAGGATTGTCGGAGATGGTAAAACTGACTCAAGTATGCACAGTTCGTGAAGGGCCCGGCAGTACGATCAAACTATACCATATTTGTCCCAAAAGCGGAGTTCACAGATGTATCTACAAAAATATGTCAGATATTGTGCTTGCTGTCCCGCATCTCTTACTGTGTAAATGTTCTACCCATGTTGTTCCTTAGATTGTCCCTGCGACCTGAATCGTCCCTTGAGTTGATTGGCGGAATGCGCAGTCAATTGTCCGTGTCGATTAGTAGCGTGGATCTGGGGTAAATTAAAGGATCAATAGATCACGGCTAACTACCCCTAAACGAGCCAGAGAACTGCGCCCCCAGACATGATCAAAGGGAAATCAAGGATCGGCAACTTCATGCTCCACATCATCCAGCAGTTGATGTCAATTCACTCATTGTCAAAAGCCCTTCCTTGACTGATAATCCAAGGCTCTCACTCCGCTTGCATCTACAACCATGCACTTTCTTGCTCTTCTTCCTCTATTAGCCACTTCGGCTTCAGCTCTTGCTTTTCCCGGTGCTGAAGGATTTGGCCGCAACGCTGTTGGTGGACGAGGCGGTTCAGTCTATGTCGTCACAAATCTAGACAATGCGGGTCCTGGCTCTCTGCGAGACGCCGTCTCAAAACCGAACCGGATAGTCGTATTTTCTGTCGGCGGCCTCATTAACATCACTGACCGCATTGTCGTATCCAAACGCGTGACCATCCTAGGACAAACCGCCCCCGGTGGCGGAATAACAGTCTATGGAAATGGCTGGAGCTTCAGCAATGCCGACGACGCCATCGTACGCTATATTCGTATCCGCATGGGCAAAAAGGGAAGCAGTGGTAAAGACGCTATCACTATAGCAGAAGGACACAACATGATTTTCGATCACGTTTCTGTCTCGTGGGGCCGCGACGAGACTTTCTCCATCTCAGGCTCTGAAGTTGGAAACATCACGGTACAAAACAGCATCATAGCCGAGGGTCTAGAAACGCACTCGTGTGGTGGCTTGATGCAGACTGCTCTCGGTAATGGCATCAGTCTATTTCGTAACTTGTACATTGACAACAAGACGCGAAACCCTAAAGTCAAGGGTACAAATGATTTCACCAACAACGTGATTTACAATTGGGGCGGTGGGGGTGGTTACATTGCTGGCGATTCGAGCGAAAGGAGCGAGGCAAACATTGTTGGGAATTACTTTATCAGTGGACCCAGCACAACCGTTCCGGCTTTCACGCGGGGCAACGATTTATTCAACGGATTCGTCCAGGGCAACTTTTACGATTCTGGCAAAGACGGCGTGCTGAATGGAAAGGAGCTGGGTGTCACCAAGGAAAACTATGGTGGCATGAACATCAAGGGGGCCAAGTTCGCATACCCGGCTCCGGCAAAGATCTTGTCGGCAAACGAGGCGCTGGCACTTGCAGAGAAGGGTGCAGGTGCAAGTAAAGTCCGTGATTCGGTTGATCAACGGCTCATTGCTGAGTTGAAGAGTTATGGCAAGCTGGGACAATTGATTAGCGATGAGAATGCCGCTCCGATGAACGGCCCAGGAACTATCGACGGAGGAAAGAAGTGGGTGGATGCAAATGGCAACGGGATACCAGATGATGTCGAGTCGCAGTTTAAAAACGTGGAGGACTGGGCTAATAGTTTGGTGCCGGTTTCGTACTAGGTCGAACGGTTTCTTTTCTTGTATATATTTCCTAGAAGTATGATAGTTGGTGCATCGACTATATGGGCTATTTCTAAAGTGACTTGATACAGGAATTTTTCCACAGAAAAAGTGAAGTAGTCGATCAACGGGAAAATCTCAAGAAAGCTTCTTGGGCACTAAAACTTGAAAACTTCTTATTAAGATGGTACATGAATTGAGAAGGAATTGTTTTTGATATTGAAATCTTCTTCGGATATTATGTATTTCTTTTGGATTTTGATGAGGAGAAATCTTAGAAGTATAGGCGCAAGAAGTGTTCAATTTTCTACAGTGTAAGGGAGTCATCCTACACAAATCCAAAAACTTAAGTAGAATGTACTAATTGTATCATATAATATGCTAAGCATCAAACTGTAGTGGGCTTGAGGAACAGAATGGCGCACGATAAACCCATCCAATGTGCTCAATCCTAGTCATGCTCCCACATTCTTCCCAAGCTCTACTCCTTCGTAGCTGGCCTCTAATCAACATCAATGGGACTTTCAGGTGCTTCAGATCCCGTACATACATGAAAGTACATCATACTATACCTACCCACCCCTGATAGCGCTGCCATCGCCATTGCAACCTCCTCCATCCTAGCCTACCTGCTTCAAATTAAAAAAAAAGAGAATTGGATAGCGGATTCATCAAGAAATAGAGATTAGCAGGTGGGACGATGAACATTCGAATATAAAGCAAGATTCCAGTCATGCAGTGTTGTCTTCTTTTTCCTTTTCCTTTTCGATAATTCCATTTCGAATCTTGTCCCACCAAGAAACTCGAAGAACAGCCCATATTTGGTGCCACATACTGATTGACTAACAATAGTAATGAGACTTCACAAAAAATATACAATCAAGGAATTTTTCATTGTTCTTAGAAATCGTTTGGGTATATGGAAATTTACATATTACGTGGACAACAAATGCGCTCATTAGTTGGATGATCGTATGACTTTGGTTGGTGAGACGACTTTCTAAATCTATCCTCCAAACCTGGACCGCAACGGGGGTGAAGAAGGTATCAGCGGCGGTTCCGACTGACTTGTATAGACGAAATCTTCCGAATACGTTGCTCGTCTGGGTGTTGTAGATCCTAGTTGTGGCGTAGGAGCTGCTAGCTCATAGGTCCAGTAGTTTCTATTAGCCTGCATTTCTGGTACTTCTTGATCAAGTTCGGCAGGAGAAGTCTTGCGCTCTTCAGAGTAAGCGGGTAGGCTGTTGGCCGTAGTATGCTGCTTTGTGCGGCGACGATGGCGAAGGAAGAGGAGAACTACGCCGGCACCGAGAAGGACTACTGCAGCTGCGCCCAGACCAATTCCTGCTTTTGTTCCTGTGCTGAGTCCTGTTGTAGAGAATATTGGATCTGGTGTGGTAGATGGAGTAGGCGTGGAAGAGATTGGCTTATCTTCCTTCTCTGGCAGTGGTGTCCAATAGCTAGCCCAGCTCTCCGTGAAAAGAGTTTCGTTCGTATACACATCCGGCAAGTCTATGTCCGCATCATCGATATTTAACATGACATTTCCAAGACCGTTCTTCGAAATACCCGGGCCGGGAGCTTGGCCCAACCAAGACACTTCGCGATTCCAGTTCCGGCCTATGAAGGCTGCTTGAAGAAAAGCGCGACCAAGTATGTATGGGGTATCTTTGGACGATGGCTCGTAGCTTTGGCAGGGGAAATATGCTATCGGTTTCTCAACGATAGGGGTATCGAGCGTCAGATTTAGCAGACTGAACGGCACTTTGATAGTTACGTTGTTTGACGCACCGTAAGCTGGAGGGAAAGTGAAGCCAAGATACGCCGGAGAGGTTACAATTGTTCGATAAGCTGGATCTGCCGTATCCCACAGCCAATATCTCAGTTTCTCGTCAAATTTGATAGGTAAGTGCTTCGCAATCTCTTCACAGGTTTTTCCAGGGAGATGGAGGTACGTCTGTCGTGGATCGGGTAAAGCAAAAAGAGTTGTACTTTGACTTTTGTTACTCAACAATAGATTGCGTTTCTCTTTGAAGCTGAAAGGGGAGCCACCAGTAGCGGCTCCAATGCTGATATCAAGTAAGAGCGGAGCTTTGTTGAACGACGTATAGGATCCTACAAGTCTCCCTTTGTCGTAACCACCGATGAGCAAAGAGCCTGGGTAATTATGAAACGCCGATCCAATCTGCAAGCCGTATGAGAACGATCTTGTAGCACTGCGATTGTATGCGGCGCCTGCATAGCTGAAGCCAACCATCGGTGCATTGGCGAAGGTCGAATCGGTGGCGAACTTTTGCGACTGTTCTGGTCCTCCCAACGCGAAACATCCCAGCTCCGGTCCACGTACACTCCCGTCAGGATTTGTGATCACAATGTCCTCGATCAAGACCAAACTCGAGTTCCAATACGAGAAACTCTCAACTGTTGAAGCTTGGAGAAGTATCCCTTGTCCACTAGAATTCACTCTAGAGGCTTCATCCATCCAATCTCCAGAAGCACTGACACTTGGAGGAAAGTCAGGGTTCCAAGTTCCTCCTTTGCCACACCTTGAGTTCTTGTATGGCTTGCATGCCTTCGAAGTGAGAATTTTGCTGTTCCATTCACCACCAGGTAGAAGGTCTAGCTGCCGGTGATCCTCATTGATCAGGAGAATGTCGGGACTGGTACCGCCCACAGTAACTTTTACTGCCTGCCAGGGGCCATCCGGACCGTAGTATTGTGTGCTCCATGGGACAGAGATGTATTGTGCGGCTAATATGGGTGGCAACGTTTGCAGCAGCGAGCTGGTGATGAGGAGTTGGCGTAAGTGCCGAAACTTCATTGAGTAGGTAGATAAGAATGTGCTTGAGACGAACAACGAAAGTCGAGAGAACAAAGGCACGAACAAATTTGATGACGTTCAAACAGACAACTCAGATAAATGAGGTTATGACTTGGGCAAATCAGTTCTACAGTAGTCCGGGAATCGACACTGGACAGCACGGAAGAGTACAACCGCCTTGTTGCTGTGCCGCAATAAACGAGGTACGTGCATAAGATTGCACTGAGTCCCTTGACGCATTCGGCTACGACGGGTGTGATGTAAGTAATGCCCCTGCATGAAGCCTGCTTCAAACCCTTTAAAACAAGGTATGGCAGCTTGAGCAGCTCCAACCATTTTCCCGATGATTCTGCTTAGACTGTAGACTTTGTTAATGATACGAGTAGAGTATGCAAATAGATACAATGTTGAAGTTCGAGGGTGAAAGCGTGTTAGGGGCGCCAGGATTACAATTAAGCGCCTAGTGGGTATTTAAGCGCCGAATCCTATATCTCACCACCCTCGCACCCTAGCCATGCTGGAACGTGGCGTTCACTCCACATCCTGGTTATGTACGAAAATGTCGCTATTTCCATAAACGTATGCGGGTGGGTCTTGACATCATCAGGATCTCTGAATCCATCCCACTCTCTTCTTCTTCTTATCACATATTGACTTATTTTCAACTCTGCAATGGGGTTGAAAGACTTCACAAGTATCGGCTATTTCACCGCTGCAACAGCAGCAGCAATCTTAACAGCTGTACTCAGCCCTCAGTCCCATATTGGGCACACCCTAGTGCTTGCCGAATTGATATGCTGGACACTGGTCATCGCGTTCTTCGGAACTCTTGAGCGCCTTGGTTCAGAAAATTGGAAAAGCAACAATGTTGCCTCTACGGCGACACTCATATATCTGTATTGGACCGCTGCGTTTTCTATAGTTATCACGGCAATATCTTCTTCCTTTATTGATTCCATATGGATTACTGTAAGTGGGTGCTCACTCACATACTGAAACCTGCTAATGTAGTCTTTGAAGCCTGTAGTCGCTTTTGCAATTCTTGCACGTCGTCCAGCTTCATGGTTGACACGCCTCTACGCATCGCTACCTAGGCATATTCAATATTCGTGGCTTACATTCGGAATAGGAATGATCCTTTTCGTATCACTTGTCCCCACTCTTGAAACAAAGAGGCTAGCTTCTGCTATCCCAATTGCTCTTGGCCTCATAGGAACATACACATCTCTAATCCACATTTTCGGTCCCGAGAATGACCAGATCGATGAGAAAGGACGATTGGAGACCACGCGCGTCATTTTTTCCATCGGATTGCGCATCATCGGATTGCTTATAGCCGTTTCTGTCATTATGATACTTACATGGTCTGGAAGCCCACTCGACATAACTAATGCAATGTTGGCTGGCGGTCCTAAGGCTGCTCATTGGATCATCATTTTCTGGCTCGTAAGACTTATTGGAATTCTGAACCAATTTACACCCATGCTAACATGTCCAGACACAAGAGACCCCATGGGAAATCGCGCCTGCCATCTGGGCTTATGTTGCTGCGTCAGTCAGCTCCTTACACCCAACTTCAATCGGCACATTAGGCATGGCTCAAACCTTCACTCGCATAACTATTGCGATTCTAAATCTATACCAAATAATCGACTTTATACCGAAAACAGAAAAAGGCCGCGGGTTACTAGTTGCCTTCGCTCTATGGCCGGTTTCATCATTCGTACAGCATACTCCCCTAAGCCAGCATATAACTTCCTTGCCTGGCGTGAACTGGCCTGGATCATCTGACAACATCTCATATCACCCAGTCGAACTACTCATTCGCAGAGCTCAAGACGATTTCAAACACCTTATCGATAAGCAATCAAAGACGCTCGAAGCTGCTGAGACTGAGTATCGTAGAAGATATTCACGGTCTCCACCTCCCGGGTTCGCCCAATGGTTCGCGTATGCAAAATCTAAAAACTCGGTTCTCATCGATGATTTTGACATGATCAACAAGGATCTGAAGCCATTTTGGAAGATTGCCCCGCAACAGCTTCATGAGAGCATTAACCATGTGTCAAGTTTCGAACATCTTGCCCTGCGTAAATGCGGCTTCACCGACGGACGCTTCCATGGACAAGGCGGCGGCTGGATTGTTGAAGATCTTGGAAAACTTCTTCAAGAGGTCTCGCAGGGTATTCCCAATGTTGAATTTGCTTTCGACGTGGTGGATGAACCCAGGATTATCATCACACAACATATGCTCGATACTGGAGGCGTGTCAAAGCCCGAGTTCTATGACGCCCATCACTTATCAATATGGGAGCGCACAACTAGCGCTTGTGCACAAACTAGCTCCCCTGGAAAACTTCACACCATCCATGACTATGGACTAAATTTAGTTCAAGATTGGTATCAGTCCAAGGATGTTTGTTCCCACCCCGAATTCAGTGTCATGCATGGTTTCTTCTCATCACCAATGACCTGTCTTCTCACAGATGCCCCTGTTCCTGTCCTGTCTCAAGCTGCTCCAACATCATTCGGAGACATAATGTACCCTAGTCCCTGGTACACGGCAAAGATGGACCAAGGAGATTACAAGGACGAAGCCGACCCTCTCTGGGAACAGAAAGCTAGAAATCTATATTGGGCGGGCAGTACGACTGGTAGCTATAGCTGGAACGGCACCTGGCGTTATTCTCACCGACAAAGATTCGTTCAATTGGTTCAGACACTTAATCAAACCAACCACATATACCTTGAAGAGTTCAAGCCTGGACAGTGGGCCAGCTACGGAGCAGTCGAAGATCACGGCGACTTATTTGATGTCAAACTCACTGCCATCATCCAATGCGATAATCAAGACTGCGAAGAGCAGACAAAAGTCTTCACCCTTGGGGAGAAAGAGGAACGAAGTCGGCAGTTTCATTCCCAATTCGTATTTGATGTGGACGGCAACTCATTCAGTGGGCGATTTTACACTCTATTGAGATCGAGAAGTGTTGTACTCAAGCAAACCGCTCTACGTGAGTGGCACGATGAACGTCTCATTCCATGGGTTCATTTCATCCCCATCAGCCTATCCATGGACGAACTGCCGGAAGTCATGCGTTATATGACCACTCACGAAGACGGAAAGAGAAGGGCAAAAGAGATTGCCGATGCAGGCCGTGAATGGCACGGAAGAGTCCTGAGAAAGGAAGACTTCACGATATATCTCTATCGTCTCATGCTGGAACTTGCGAGAATTATGGATCCGAACCGACAGGTCGAACATTGAAACGGTTATCAACCCTCCTACTTGACCAATAGGAGATATATATGACGATCGTATATCTCCGTTCTACTGAATTCGTGGCTTCTCATGACGTTGGGAGTCGCCCCTCACTCTTCAACAGCACCACCTTCCTAACGCCGTTTAGCGCCGTGCAAGTAAATGGACCCTGTTATCATTCGCGTCCTATCTTTACTGACATCATCCACTCGAATGCATTATCAGTCTTCACTCCAAAGACTTGACCGGCACCCAATCCTCTCTTCGCCCCGCCTCTACTGTTCGACAAGAGGGGTCACACTAAGCTACTCGCGGTGAAGGCCAGAGATCTAGCATACCCAGTGCGATGTCGGAACAGGGCTCACGATAAGAGATGGAACTTAGGAAACACGACGTCTAGCCAATATATTGGAGGGTATGGAGAAGGATCTGCAAAATGTAGACTTGAAGTGGGAATAACATATTGGGTTCGGCTTCGACGTCGGCATGTGCATGCGATGCGGCACATTCTATGCCGGTATGCAAGGACGAGACAGACACACATGCATAAACGTACTAAAAGAAAGATATTCTATGAACCTATGTCTTCCCTTTCATCCTGGTTCAATCTCCTCTATCTTCCAAACTATCAACTATGGGTGACTTTGAGAAGGACGTGTCAAAGTCGGGTGAAATTTCATCATCGCCACAGTATTCCGACGTTGAAATCGGCACTGTGCATGAGACAACCAAGAATGGCGACTCAGCACTCGAATTTCTAAGAACAGCACACGATGTTGGTGAACTTACTCCTGAAGATGAACGTAGGTTACTTCGGAAGATCGACTGGATGATTATGCCGCTTATGTGGTGCTGTTACTGTCTTCAATATCTCGACAAAACACTGGGTACGTAGCTGAATATTCCTTAATCAAACAAGCATACTAATCTTTTATCATAGTCAACTACGCAGCAGTAATGGGCCTCTACGACGACGCAAACATAACGACAGACCAGTTCTCGAACCTCGCCTTGTTCTTCTACGTCTCCTATCTCGTCGTCGAGTTCCCACATGGCTACGCTATGCAACGTCTACCCACTGCAAAGTACCTTGGTTCCGCAGTCATCCTCTGGGGTCTAGTCACCGCGCTGACATGCTTGTGTAAGAACTACGGCGCACTGGTCGCCACACGTGTGCTACTTGGTTGTTTTGAAGCCGCCGTCGCACCCAGTCTGATTCTCATCACCTCCATGTGGTACAAGCGAACAGAACAGCCGCTGAGAACCGGTATCTGGTACTTAGGCGTTGGCACCGGAACAATGATCGGGAGCTTGATTAGTTTCGGATTCCAACATTACCACAGCGACGCATTCACAAGTTGGCAAACCATGTTTCTCGTCGTCGGTCTCGTCACCATCGCCGTTGGCATAACCGGTACGTCTCTTTCCATATCTCAAATCTTTCAGCCAATAACACCACAAACCACCAGTGGTATTCCTTCTCCCAGACAACCCCATGTCCTCGCGCCTCACCCCCTCTGAAAAAGTCTGGGCCATAACCCGCCTCCGCTCAAACCAAACCGGAATCGAAAACACCACCTTCAAACCCTACCAAGTCCTCGAATGCTTCAAAGACCCCCAAACCTGGCTTTTGTCTCTCATCACAATCTCCTCAAACGTGCCCAACGGCGCAGTCTCTTCCTACCAAGCCACCCTCATAAAATCCTTTGGCTTCGACTCCAAAACAACCGCGTTGCTGCAACTCCCCTCAGGAGCCATCAGTATAATTTCTATTTTGATAGCTACGTACCTCGCCGGCCGCTTCAACCAGCGTGGGCTGAACATCATTACGTTGCTGGTACCCGGAATGTTGGGTGGGTGCCTCATGGCTTTTTTGCCTAGCTCAGCGAAAACAGGCAAGTTGATAGGAAACTATCTGACCAACTGTATCGGATCCAGCTTACCGCTATTATACTCGTGGGTCGCAGCTAACTACGCGGGGCACACGAAGAAAGTGACGATGAACGCTGTACTCCTCATGTCGTTTTGCCTGGGCAATATCATCGGCCCGCTCACGTTTCGGAAGGAAGATAGTCCGGACTTTGTACCTGCGAAGATTACGATTATCGCCACGTGTGCGGTTGCGGCGGGGTTGGCCATCGTGCTGCGGGTGTATTACGTAGTGGAGAATGGGAAGCGGGAAAGACATAGTATAAGTGAGCGAGTGGAAAATGAAGAGTTTTTGGATTTGACAGATCGCGAGAACGCGAGGTTTAGGTATAGATTGTAAATTCACAACTCGTGCTATCATACATACATATATATATATATCAATTTCGAAGATCGAAAACGCTCAAGACTTGCTTTGCTCTTCTGTGTAACCCACCTACGGTGTCCCCGCCCCTCCCTTGAGTTCGCGAATAATAATCTCCGCCGCCTTCTCTCCAATCATCAGTGCCGTGTTATTCGTATTTGCACCCACATTCTTTGGCGGAATACTCAGATCCGCAATCTTGAGACCCTTGACACCATACACATTCAGGTCCTTATCCACAACACCATCCTTCTCCCTTGGCGCCATCTTACACGTGCCCAGCGAATGCCAGGTCGTATTCACATTCTCCCTCAGCCACTGCTCAATCGCCTCATCATCTTCCTTCGTGTACACCAGATCCTTGACGTCCTTCAACGGCGCAGTGACAGATTCCTGGACCGCGGCTGCGGAATTAGCGGGGAAGCGCGGATGTCCTGCTGCGAGTTCGCCGCGGTAGAAGTTTGTGCGGCGCATGATTTCGCGTTGTTTCTTGTAGGCCCACATTTGCTTCTTGAGATCGATGTCATCTTTGTCGTTGAAGAAGCCGACGTCGAAGTCGAGCGCGTCGTCGTGCTTGGGACCTGTGATGTGCATGTGGCCGCGAGAGTAGGGGTATGCGGTGTATGTTCCGGTGGTAACGTATTGGCCGGCTGGGATGCTGGTTGGGTCGCCGAGGAATCCGGATACTAGGCCGCATAGCATGAGAGGGATGTTGGGGTTGTCTTTGAAGTCTCGGTCCCAGGCTTCTCTGAATTCTGGGCCGAGGGCGGTGACTTCGTCTTCGGTGGGTCGTAGCTTGGAGGATATGTCTATGCCGTTCCAGCCCAGTATGGGATCTTTGTTCTCCATCATTTTGGCTACGTCCGCGCGTCCGCTGAGGATGGCATCCATTGTTTGGTGTGGCTCGAGAGAGGTCTTGAAGGGATAAAGAATGAGGTGATGATCTTGGTAGTCTTTCCCTACACCTGGTAGTTCTTCTACAAGTGGCACGCCGGCTCGTTCGAGAATTTCCTTTGAACCAACACCAGAGCGTTCGAGTACTGGTGGTGTGCCGCAGGCACCACATGTGACAACGACAAGCTTGCGAGCACGCACTTGCTTGACTGGGTGCATGCTGAGGCCAATGGTGGACTGAAATTCAGGATTTGGTGTGTATTCTACGCCAGTTGCGCGCTTGTTCTCGTCAAACAGTACGCGCACGACTTTCGATTCGACAAGCACGTGAAGATTCGAGTACTGCTCCTGTTCGAGCTTGGGGTGTATGTATCTGTGTGCAGTATCTTGACGTCTGCCGTCCGGTGAGACGTATCGTTGCCATCGCTGAACACCGTTGTTTTCTTCCAAGTTTTGCAGGTCTTCAATCTCAGGGACGCCGACTTCCCCAGCAGCGCGGATGAAATCGTCTTCCACTTCACGGCAACGGTAACCGCCGTCGCTGATATTTATAGGCCCATCGTAGCCATGATGTTCTTTCTTACCTGGCCCGTGATATGTCTCGAGTCTCTTTAGGTGCGGCCATACCTCTTCCGCCGACCAACCAGGGGTGTTCCAAGAGTCAAAATCCGAGCGTTGTGCGCGAGTGTACATCATGAAGTTGATCGAGCTGCCTCCACCAAGCGTACCACCACACGGTACGATAGGCTCTCGGTCAGCAAGTTGTTTAGCCTTGTTGCCCTTGTAGAAAAGTGCTGTTTTGGTGGTAGGCAGAAGATTCTGTAGATAGAAAACCGGATTTACAACACTTGCAACATCTTTGTTGTTTGCACCGCCTTCAATCACAAGAATGGAGAGGGAGGGGTCGTCTTCTGCGAGGCGGCCGGCTATGATACATCCTGCTGTTCCGCCTATAGACAGCAACCGCGTTAGGTTCACGACAGTACTTAAAAAGAAGGGAGTGCAACGGACCTCCAGCAATGATGACATCCACTTCCTCGATACCATCTGCAAGCTTGGAATAGATGCCCATGGTGAGAATTATTATACGGATCGAGTGGTGATCTGGCTTGATTGGAAAAGGGGTGGGATGGAGGCAATCCTGAAGGGCAATCACTCCGGCTTCCTGCAGCATATATAGCAAGATGTGCATGCTCTCCTGCTTGCCCGGAAAGTCAGGGGTCAGGAGTCAGCCACTAGGACCCTGATACACTGAGGGCAGCATCCGGCATGAGCCTGCCCCGCATTCTGAGTACCGAAAGCCGCATCTTTTACTGTTTGTAGCCTGGTTCTGGTGTTGCGAGTGGACCCGCTCCGCATTCGAGAGGCGTCTGGATAGCAAACTAGAGGCACCGCGTGGTACTAGTGCTAGTGCGAAAACAATTCCCCACTCATGGCAACCTTTTGTGCCATGCAAATCTTTTGCGCGGGTGGTGAAATGTAAGTAAGCACACTGTCAGGTGTTCCCTCCCCGCACTTCAACCCGGATTCGGTCAATTGCGGCCGTCCGGGGGGATGAAAGATGTGCTTGTACCAACACCTAAAAAGGATTGCATCTCGCCTACGAGATGGGGGGTACCTCGGCATATCGCAAACAGGTCCGCGTGGGCCTTAGTATCTGAGTGGGATTGAATTCAACTCACAGCCAATGAAACATGCAGCACAAATATGCAGGTGGAGAAATTTTCGGGACATCGTTTGCATTATGAGGCCTCCCTTTGTGGGTAAATGTAACGTGTAACCACCAATCTGCATGTCCTTCGGATATTATCAAACGCCTAATCTGTACCGCGGAGCCTTCCTGTAGCTGTGCCCTTGGCCAATTGGACATGTTTGGGTTACAAAAGAAGAGGCCTGATTGCTAAGAAAGAAAATAGTCGGTTGTACATGAGCTGGGGAGACCAAGGAAGTATCCTTCCAGACTGAGTGGAGAAGGTCTCAAGAGCATGCGCGCATCCGGTGAGAGGGACTGCAGGGGCAAAGAGCGGGCTTAAGAAGGATGGCCTAGAATCATGGCACTCAAGAAGCTCTCAAACTCAAGGCGACGCTTGCCAGCGATGCTGTGCTTTTTGGGTTTAGCATCGGTCTCGAGGTAGTGCTTCTCAACATTGACCGTAGCCGACAGCGTCTGGAAGTGTTTGAGGACTTCCATTTTCAGATTGGCACTCTCATTATCTTGGACAGAGTCGTGCCTGCATAAAGAATTAAATCAGCTTGTTCCATGGTTCGTATGTTTGCGGCTTCTACTTACCACTTAATGTCAACCTTTTGTAGATCAGGGGCTTTCAGCAATATCTTGTAGACGAAGCTAGCCCGCTGATGGAGAAGAGCAGGGAAGACAGCCTCCGCAAGGCCAGTCGCATCGGTACGCATCCAGGCAGAGTCCCAAACAAACGTCACTTCAGCCTTTCGAATGTTCCGCATAGGCGAGAAAGCGGCATTGGCAATCTGCCCCAACGCTTCCTCGAAGAAGGATGTATGAGCAATGTTGCGAGTCGCATTGATGCGTAGGACAGCGACATTGTAGAACCAGTTCTTGGCTTCGATGTTCAGTTGTCTGGACGTCAGGAGTAGCTCGACAGGTGGCGGAAAGTGGGTCAAGGATATGAAGTTTGGAACATGACGCCACTTAGCGTTGGGATACACAGAAGGCTGATACAAACTGTTGTAAGTACCATTTCCAACAGTCTCAGTCGCGTTCAGATAGCCGACTTCTTCGTCGTCTTCGCTATCTTCTTCTTCTTCGTCGTCGTCATTTTCGTCATCGTCCTGCTCATCATCTTCTTCTTCCTCTTCTGTGTCCGTCTCATGTTCCTCAGTGGTGTCGCTATCGCTGCCGCCATCATCCTCGCTTGCAGAGATGACATCGTTCCAGCTGTAACAAAAAAGCGGCTCAGGTACGGTTGGGTGATCGCGCATGTACGCAACAATGATGTTCTCGGACTCCTCCTTCTCAAACCAGTGGAGTAGAAGCCGCTTGGGGTTATTCTTGCCGGCTGATGATGCACGGTCTGATAGATACTCAAAGATGGAGTGTCTTACCTCGAGTGGAAGGCTCATAAACATGTCTGGAGCGTCGTTGAGAGCCATGGCGGGGAGTTGAGAGTGATGGACTGATGGAGTAGGAGTTGTTATGAGAGATGAAGCAGTAGATATACTGCACTCCAAGTGTGCAACAACTCTGGGAAGTGGCAGGAAAAGAAACCAGAGCCTAAGCGAAGCTGGCTCCGTTGCCTAGGGGAGCAGGCTTGGGTGAGTCTATAGGCGTTTGCTTCATCAGTGACTGCTGAGCCGCAACCCAGGATGCCGTGAATGTGAGTGAAGGGCATGCATATCGATGAGGGTGAAGCCGCCGCCTGTCTCTCCTCACTTCACGGTACTTGTCAAATTGCGGCTGGAGCACTCATTAGTAGTGTCATCCCTGTGTTCCCGACGGTGTAAGCGCGACGTCAGAACCTGACAAGACCTAATTGGTGACAGGGCTAGAATATCCGTTCCGTTAATCAGGAGCTGGGCTTTGTATCTGTTCAACCAAAAATTCCTGCTGGTTGCCGCGTGCAACTTTCCCTGATACACTGACGCTACTGAGTGGTTGATGATGCTCCAAGGAAGTCATAGGTGGTGCATTGTAGGGGGATCGACTGTAGTATAAATGAACACTGCAGCTACCTTTTACATCAAGCTACGTTGGCGTGTCTAATATAGGTCGTTCGTGCCATATCACCAAATAAGCACTTAACAAGGCCATATTACTCTCATGATTTCGAACACAAATCCGTTCGTGGCTACTTTCTTTGTTTAGCACATGTGTTGTCTGCTCTTGCCATCTTTAGTAGATCGCGAATGCTACTCGACAAACCCGTTCCTTCTCGCAAGTTCAAGTCAAAGGTAAACATCAAGTTTCAACGGCAGCAGCTTCTCGCCACAGATTCCCAACAATTATCAACAGCGCATACTCATTCCAGTGTATATAAGCCATCCTTCTAGTTCCAACTCTCCATTCTTCTTCACATCCATCCCATCCCATCAACTCTTCTCCATTCGTCCAACACCAGCATCCTTACCCGCACCCATCCTCCCGCACCCGAAGCTATCGAGTCTCAGCAACAACGTTAGTCATTATGCGCGTCACCGCTAGCATTCTTGTTAGCTTCATTGCTGTGGGCATTGCTATGCAGGTCACTCCCACCACCAAGTCGAAGTTCAGCAAGGCCCTTGGCGAAGCATATCCTTCAGAATCTGATCACGTTGACGGTAACTGGCGGATCGGTTGTGACAGGAACAACCACTGCTCGTACTATCATGATGCCGCCGCTGCTACAAGCATCGCTGCTTCAGAGTCTGTTCACCCTGACGAAGGATCATATCCTGAGCGGTCTGCGAGGAGTGCCAATGCAACCGCCATAGCCGTACGCGTTGCCAGGTTTCCTAAGGTCAATGCCACCTCTTTAGCCGTAGCGCTTAGTATGGTAAGTTCTCTTCGTTCAATCTTTCCAATGTTTGGTCTTCCAGTGAATTCGATGCAGATTTTTGATAGATGGTTCACTGACACGCCCCAGGACGATGACCGATTGACTCGACGCAGCCAGAACGTCTCCCTTCACGCAAATACACAACCACTTTTCGGCCGTCACGTCGCCTTCGCAGGAGACCAATGTGAAGAATGCGATTTAACTGAATGTCCGGTACGTCGCGCTCCTCTAGTCCCATTTCTCATATCATGGCGCTAATCCTCGATGTGCTAGGAATGCCATAGTGACTGTGCCCAGTGCCAACACTTCAAGTGTGTCGACCCCAAATCAGGCGTGTCCATGTGCATGAGTGTACGACCCAAGTACCTGGTCCCCTGCGATCCCGTCCCTCCGCCAGTTGTGACCAAGACGAAGACTATCTACTACTTGCCTGTGTCTACACCGATATCTGCGGAAACAATCACAGCCTCACGTCAGGCGAGGTCCGTGGCTACGATTGCACCTCTGCCCACAATCACAGGCGAACCCTCGGTTACTATCACAGTATCTACTGTTGTAACAACGACAACCACCGTCCTCACTCCCTTCCCGACCAAAACTACCAAGACGGTTTTCAGGGAAGTCAGCATCGTACCCATTGATCCCGACAGCACTATCGTCTCCACCAAGACCCTTGTACCTCTGGCACCCATCACGAAACCCATCATGCTCGACAGCAGGAACAACTTGATAATCCCCAAAACCCCAAGCGCCAGCTCTCCAACCCCGTCCTTCACAACAGCCCACGGGCCCCGAGTCTCTGGTCTGCTCTCCCGCCAGCATTACAACACCAAGGAAGCATCTTGCAAAATTTGTGGAGACGCTTCAGCCTGTCAGGTATGTCCAACCTCCCTCCCCTAACATGCCACTATCGGCAACATCCCTGCTGATACATTCAAATACAGGAGTGCACCTTCGCCTGCCCCGACTGCGGCGGCAACTTGTTCTGCAACAGCCTCTTAGGTAGCCGTAATATCTGTATCGATATGCAGAGCACCGCAAATGCTTCTACAGCCTCGGACAAGATTCTCGGTCGCGCAGCTACACTTCTCATTCAACGCGACGCAAATACTGTTGCTTCCAACAACGGGTCGATCATTGGCAAGCCGTGGGATATTCAAGACGATGGTTCGGTGCTGTCGCTGAAGTTTGGGTACTCCGACTGCCGTGCCTGCATTCCTGGGGACAGAGATTGTCGTGTGGGTTTCTTCCCTTTTGGATTACATGCTTTCAGTGATGTAGGCTTTGAAGCTGATTGATAAACAGGGGTGCAAGCAGAGGTTTGACTGTAGCGAGATGAACAAGTGTGTTCGCGTTGATGAGACGGCGATCGTAGAGGTTTGTTACGAGACGGAGACTTTCTGCCCTGCTTGAAGTGTTCTGGCTGGTTCTCCTCTTATCGGATGAATGCGCGTTGAGTGAGTGGCTCACTGGGTGAGGGATTGCCTTGTCGGCTGCACGGTTTCGCATGTTCTTGCTCGTTGTTTCGTTCGGCTGAACTTAAGCGCATACTCGCAGCGATATGCCCCTTTGTTTGTACCTTTCTTGTACCCTCCGTCTCCTCTATTGCTCTACACTTCTTTGTAGTCTACTCACTTGCTTTTCAATCCATTCTTCGTTTCTCTGACCCGTCTTTTATCCATTGCTAGTCACTCATGTCTGTCACATCACAACATCACACTCGAGCCCTCACGATGACTGTGATTCCTTCATACATCTACGAACCTCTACTACCCCCTTGCCCCGCATCTCCCTTGAGATCCTCCATCAAAACGCTCATAAGCTTAAACATCTCGCCCGCAAGCTTCTTTCCCGTCTCTCTCCACTCCTCCGCACACAGTCTCCCAAACCGATCAGGATGCCATCGTAATCGCTCTTGACGCAACCACTCATAACTATACAGCCCACTTGCACGAAGCAACTTCTCCACATCATGATGACAGGCGTGTATGCTATTCTCTTCCAGCTTGAGCATCTTGCACGCTGGCAACGCACACGTAGTGAGAGTACCTGGCAGATACGGAAACATCGTGAAAAGCTTCGGCGAAGAAGAAGGTAACCGATGCAACGGCGGCGGCGTATCCGAGCTAGTCGACTGCGAACGAACCTGAATCTTCCTTGGAGTTTTCTGTTTCGGGCCCGCCGCCGCCGCAGCCGCCGCCGCAAACATGCTCTCCGTCTCGACCGACCACTTCTCATACAGTGCCTTAGTCGCGGCCTCCTTCTTCTTTTCCTCCGACTCTGCCGTCCCATTCTGCGGCTGGCCACTGCCAGGCTGCGACGTACTCTGTTTAGCCTTATGCTTACTTTTCGTCTTGGCAAAGAAATTCAGCGCAAATCCCTCAAGCGCATCTTCATTGACATCGTCAATCGAACCCGCCCACGTGCCATCTTTCCTCACCGCGATAAACTGGTCCGCACTCGAAGGATCAAGAGCAATGTATGATAGCTGATTCCACTGAAACCCCTTTTCCGCCTTCCATTCCTCAACTGTCTCTTTGTAAATCTCCCACGCATCGCCTTCACCTAGCTTGAACACCACATCTCCGTACTCGCTCATTGCGAAAAACGCGCCGTCAGGTCCCCACGTCACCATCCGCGGGGGTCCCACGCGCCATCCCGACGGCGTCAGCCACGACTGCAATGCATCTTCGAGGGCCGTAGGCAGATTGCCCCAGCGGATGAGGTCAGGGTGCCACACGAGGAACCCGTCATCTGGGCCGAGGAACGCACGGAGATGCGGCGAATGCCATGTTTTATTGAGCACGGCCTGCAGCCGAGAAGGCACTGCGGAACCCCATTTCAAACTACTCTTGCCTGCGCTGTCTTTGGAGCTGAGCACCCAGGATTCTTGCGAGGGCCCGAGGACCGCCCAGTGGACTTCTGATACTGCTCTGCTGAGGAGCTGGTCTTGGAGACTAGATGGGAGGTTGCGACAGTGGGGTGGGTTAGGGATTTATTTTTTATTTATTTTATACGTGCGCGCGTGTTTAAGGAGGGTTGGCGGGGAGGAGAGGAGTAGTGACGGTGGTGATGGTAGTGGTGGTGATGGTGGTTGATGGTGATTGAACATACTACTGTAGTCCCGCCGCGCTTTTAGATACAAAGCTATCGTTTGGACCAAACGAGAAGAACGACGCGGTACTCGCTGTGCTGCTACTCATTTGCTCGAGCCGTGGACGTTGCGATTGGGTGGGAGAATGATCGGTTATGACGTCATATATGATTTACGAATCACTCAAAAGCCGCAAAAAATGTTAGTTACGAGCAACTAATCTTGTATCCTTTTTTTGCCTAGTTTGTAGGGCCACTCACCGATGATATGTACTACAAAGCGGACGTTCTGTCGGGAGGTCCTTTAAACCCTTCTTCCCCTTTTTTTTGTCTTATCCACGACGGCCTGAAACGCAAAGTAATAGTATGGGCTCTTCGCCGTTAATGCTTTTGGCTTCGCCAACTTGGCTTATTCCTGTTTGCACCCTGTAGTCGATCAAGCTTGGCAAAAAGGCGGGACAACAACCTGTTGACAACAATAGAATCCCTCTCGTTTGTTGGTTTACCCCAACTTTCTTACCGTTGCTTTTGTTAGGTGTCTACAAGTTGTTGTTAAGATTTATAGCACCCAGAACCAACGGACAATACCCGCTTTTGCAACTTGTCTGCTACTGCGGTCTTTTTGCACACCGCCTAGAAGACAACAACCCCAGATCTAGACCGAACCGCCCACCAGCGCCAGCGCGCGCGCGCTTGAAATCCAAATTAGCGAGTTTCCCGCTGGCACGCCGTAAATGTGCGACTCAACGTTTACGTTTGGGCAGCGGGGCAGCCACTTTTTCCAGTGTCCGTCGGCGCGAGAATAGTATGGCTTCCCCTTTTTTTCTCCTACTACTTTAGAGCCCTTGACTAGCCCCCTTCGAATTAGTTACTTGTAGTAGTATACCATGTAGCAAGTGTAAACAATTACAGCATACTAATGCGTACTCTGATGTAAACTATAGCACCCGCCTCCCCCCCAAACTCTCCCGCCTCCTCCAATCCACCCAACTCCAGACCATCCACCACCTAACCCTCGGCTTCGAAGACAGCTTCATCCTGACCTACCGCTCCACCACCGGCACCTCTCACGTCGAATCTTCCGGCCCTTTACCCCCGGACCTTCTCTCCTTCATCCACGCCCCCAACCGCAACGTAGCGCAGCTCCGCTGCTACCTAGGCCCTTACAACTCCTCCTTCTTCACCCACGACTCTTCAAGTTATCTCTGGCAAAACCTACCCCCAGCGCTACTCTCCGCGCTTGAGAAAAATATAAAAGATGGCAAGTGGCGCGACCGTCCACGCATCGTCGTGTTAGGCGCGGATGCGAGTTTCGCTTTAATCACCGAGAAGAATGCTGCTGTGTGGGATTTAACCTGCTACCCCTCCCTCCTTTCCCTCTTACAAGAAAAGAAAGATACGAGTAGGATGGGTGAGGTACATAGTGTAACGCTACATCCCTACCGCTACTCCTCCTTCCTCCTCCACCTCAAAGACGGAACCCTTCTCTCTGGCAATATCCCGCCGCACCAGGTTGCTGGTGTAAATGCTATGCTCGAGCCGCTTCGCAAGGATAGTCAGGAGAATCAGGCGCTGTGGATGGCGAGGAGGGACAGTGCGAAGGTAGACAGACCGCAGAGACCGAGTGTGTTGCAGCAGAGGGCGCAGTTGAGGAGGGAGTGGGGAGGAAGGACGAGTGAGGTGTCGGTGCAAGGGAAAGGGGTGAAGTTGAGTTTTAGTCTGAGTGTTAGTTTGGGTGGGGGGTTGGGGAGGTTGCTTGGGTGAAATTCTCCTTGCAGAGTTCAACTGATGTGGATTGGAGGGTTATGCCGGTTTGGGACGGGGGTGTATTTGGGGCGTTGGGCAGGATTAACATATTTTTCTTCTTCTCTTTGTATGTTTCTTGTATCATAAGTTCATAGTTTGGCAGTTTCCCGTAGCTGTATATATATACCCTTTTTACGTATGACTTTACTAGTCGTAAGTCACCTTTCTATTTTTATTTTTTACAAAGTCGATTGAAAATATAGATTCTACTTCACTCCAACGAATTTAAAAAGAAGTGAGATAGCACTCACGTAAGCCTAGTTCTGACATATACGTTCACCTACTAAAGGGCGATTTTTGGAATCAAGGGTATAGGGAGAGAAAAAACTGGGTACTCAAAAAGATCCAGAAGAAAACATTCTGAATTCGCTCCAAAAAAAAAGAACATGAAAGCAACGCCAAAAAGAAACACCTCCCTTAGACGCCCCATATCGCAGATAAACAACCACGAAATAATCATGAGCAATCTTTCCAGTAGAACACAAATAAACGTTTCTCCATACATTACACACACCGAACCCCCCCAATCAAAACCGCCACCTCTTCACAAATCATCATCGTCAAACATCTCCACCTCAAACTTGGCCCCCAACGCCTCATTCGCCTCCTTAAGCATAGCCGACATCTGCAAACTCATCCTTCGCATCCGCTCATCCTCCTCCATCTCCTCCCTCCTTACCTTATCAATCAAGCGTTGGCTCTCCTGCGGCAAGGGACTCGCCACACTAGTATTCTTATCGAAAAACGCAGTGGGAGAGCCGTAGCTAAGACGGGAGTAGGAGCGCGAAGGGGCAGGGGTACCAGGTGAGAATTTCGAAAGCGAAGGGGCGGGGCTGTGTAAGGAGTGGCGGTCTGTTGTTGAGCGGCGCGAGACGGGGATTAGAGAGGGGCGCTTTTGGGATGGGGTGGAGAGGTTTGCGCGGGAAACGGGGCGCGGGATTTGGGAGGAGGGCGAGCGGCCGTGGCCGGGGAGTCGTCGCTCGGATAGGCGCGGTGTACCTGGTCGGGATTCTGTTTCGCAGTCTGTGCCGACCATGACCCAGTTGTCCGTTGTGCGCAGGCGTTTTGCTAATCGCGGGCGCTCTGGGGTTATGGAGGGAAATGGTTGGATGCCGTAATCGTCGCGTGGGAATGTGCCTGGGGTTGGTTGCTGGACGGGTCCTGGGTGGTAGGGATCGTCCTGAAGACCAAGTTTCTCTGCCACATCCGCATTCGATTCGATGTTGTATTTCTGTCCACTGCCTGCTTGGAAGCCGCGGAAAGGTACCGTGCAAAACTCAAACAGCTTGCCGGCTACTCCGCCTACAAGGCTGATCAATGACCAAGCCTTGCTTCCATTCGGTGTTGTGTGCATCTCTCCAGCCGCCGCCTGCGTAGAGAGGCCAACCTGGGGAGTCGGGGGTACAGACCAGGTGCCGCGCTGGCTTTGGAGGTTGAAGTAGTCGTCGTAGTCGCCGTCTCGCCGTCCGAATGTCTGTGGCCCATCCATCCCCCCGGCTAGTTCGTAGCGGTCGTTTGCGAGCGGAGGTGGACTCTTGTTATTGACGAAGCGGTTGTTGCTCAAGGGGTAGTCGCTCCAAGAGCCCTGCGCAGCGTTGTCGCCATATCGCGATCGCTTCCGGGTCTCGTGCGCATCCGAGTCAATCACCTGGCGACCAGTGGTTTCAGACGCAAGCGAGTACCGCCTCGTCGAGTCGAAGCAGCTATTCCGCGAATCTCCACGTGTATGCGATGGCGAAAAAGTATACGGTCCAGGCATGTCGTTGGGATAGCGCAACTGGGCGGCCATGCAGGGAGGTGGATCGGGGTTGCCTGTGGGACGTAGTTTCAGGGACGGCTAGCGGAGCGGACGAATGAGGTCAGCCTTGGTGCAAGGATGGCGGGTGCTGCTTCTCGAAAGCTTCGGTAGTCGGCAAGTCCCCAGGAATCGGAGAATTAGTTAGAGCTTCATAATGGGCGTGGCGTGTGTGGTGATGGAGATGCGAGTGGGGAACCGTGCAAGTCAACCGTTTGTTTATGGTAAGCCGTCGCTGGGTAGCGAGTAGCGAGGAGCTTGGACAGCCATCGTCAAGGTGGTCGCGACATTGGCCGCATCGTGAGTCTGTTGAGCGCCTTTTGGAGGGCGTATGAATAATGTGTATTCAACAAATGATGTGCAAGCGGTAATGCCATCTACGTACGAAGTTACAACGCCTCCCGTGACCAGGGTATACCCTACCTAGACGCCATCTAATCAGCAGCTGGATCCTCCTCGCCCGATACCTCCTCATACAGATCATCATTGTCCTCTCTCTCCTCGTACATATGACTTGCATCCTCTTCCTCACCATCATCCCTCTCCTCCTCTCACTCAACAGGTACCTCCTATGCCCGTGCTATCCACCCGCTATGCACAAAATATTCAAACAACTGCGATGACTTGTTGGTATCAATCTTACAAATCTCCTTGGCCGTCTTCTTCTTGAGCGCACCGCCATTAAGGAGGGCCGCACGAAGAACCATTTCCTTGAGCGCGATATATGGTTTCGGCATGATGCGCAGGACGCTGCACAGTTCTACCTCCTCAGCATTAAGCAATTGAAGATCTGCCTTTGACTCTTTGCCAAACTTCAGAGGCACTGTGTTAGGAAGTGGCTTAGGTACAAATTTGGTCTTTGCAAACTGGGGGCTCGTCACTCCATTGGTGCCGTTAACACCATTAGTATTGTTGGGGGCACAATCTGGCGGCGGTGTACTCAATCCGCTGCTCTGTTTGACGTGCAGGGGAAGTTCTTGCGCAAGCAATGCAGTGGCGGCTGATGGCTGCTCAAAAGGAGGCTGGGGCTTTGCCATCCTACTGGACGCGAGACGGTCGAACTGGCCAATGGGCGGTGGCCTGGTCTGCCGTTGCTGCTTTTCCTGCTCATACTTTTCGCCAGCCTTGAGACTGGTAATCTGCATGTTCCTCCACTCCTGTAGTTGTGAGATGGCCTGTCGCAGATTGTGCTCGTACTCGAGGTCTTTGCAAAACTGCTCAAAGTCGGCGTGTAGCATCATTCTTGCAAAAGGCTTGGCTTTATTCATGAGATCCTTCTCTTCCTTTGTGCGCTTCTTGTCTGCCAGTTGATTTTTGCGATACTCGAGCAGCTGGTGCTCGAATATAATCTTCTTCCTCTCCACACGTGCATCCAGGCGGTGGTTGTAGATTTCCATAATGACCATCTTCAGCTCCATTTCGGGTTCAATCTCGCCGGTGCGGGGATTGATGCCATCGCCCGGCTCGAACTGCATGTGCTGAACCGCCTCTTCTGCCTCGTTGAAATACTCCGTCTCAAACTCCAAACGACCTGGCATATAGCCTTGGACCTCGTGACATGCGGGGACACTGGCCGTGGGTTTCTGCTTGGGAGCCTCGGGCTCGCGACTGGCAGCCTCTTCCTTCTTCTTCTCGATTCTCCGCTTCTTCCTCGCCTGGAACTCGTGACGCGGTATGCGAGTGCTGAGCTCGGTGTCATCCTTGCTGCAGTGTTCCGGCAGGGGGAAGCTGGGGCTGTTTAAGTACGTGTCGATGTAGTGGTCTCGCACTTCGTCTTTTTCGCGGAAGCCGCCAATGTGGTCAGCAATGTCTGCCCAGGAACCTAGGCCATACGTCTCTGCTCCCTCTAGGAGAGCCAGCTCCTCGTCGGCGCCCCAGTCCTCGGTAAAAATAGGAATCGAATGCTGCTCGATGACCTTGAACTTGTGCTTCGCAGGCTGGTGGTCTTTTGTGGCTTTGCCCTCGGCGAAGCATGGCACGCAGAGGTCATACTCGTGGCATACTTCCTCGGCGCAGCGAATGCGGACCTGCAGGGAGGGTTAACACGCGTGCAATGAGAACAGAGAGAGCAAGGCATAAACGGACCGTTGACGTGATGTCGGACGAGCAGACGTCGCAAACATACTTTGTGCCGCCCTCGGTACCGCGGGCACCTGTCTTCTTCTTGATGACGCCCATGGTACCCCGCTCGGCTGGGTGTGGGGAGGCAGGTGAGCAAGTGTCGTCGTCGTCGTCGCCACACAGACTGCACTAGGCGACCACACTGGACGGGTCAGGTTTGGGGTTGGGTTGGGCGCGCGGAGGTGAGACAGGACATGTGGCTGTGCGCAGGGCACTGCAGACGCGCGTGTCAGTTCGCAGGCAGCGGACTAGCGGTAAAGCCGCCAGCTGGGCTGCAACACGGCGGGACGACAGGGCCCCAGGGCTGCACGGATGCGCGTCTCCAGGTCTCGGGACGTCGATGCGATGCGATGCGATGTCGGACGGTGGTGGTGATGCAGAATGACGGACGTTGGCGGGCTGGTATGCGGTGATGTGTGTGTGTATGTGTCTATGTACGCGCAATAGGAGGTTGCCCGCGGCGGAAGCTGCAGCCGAGGCGAGCAGACAACGCAAGTACGCAGACGCACTGCACTGCACGCTGCACACACTGCCCTAGGGATCTGTTACAACATGTCGCGTCTCCCGGCACCCGTTGTCGCCAGCAAAGAGGAGAGAATTGCGCCCGGCCCGTGTCTTTGCTCGTCGCAGGGGCGGGTCTAAACACTGGGAAATGACAGAGGGCGCGAATGGGCGTGTCAGTGCGGGAAACACGACCTGGTCGCCGCCGGCCGAGATTAAGGCTAGCGACCCAATGACCCCTCAAACGTGAGACCCTATCTCGAGCTCTGGAGAAGCGTACTCAAAGCGCTGGGCGGCTCTCGGACACCAGACACGTTGCCACTGTCGACGCTCCCTGAAGCTTTCTTCTGTGCCTCTCTCTCCTTTCCGCCGCCTCTGCGCCAACAGCAAACCCACGCCCACTCTGCCCTCATAAGCTGCACCGCCGCTCCTTGGGTGCGCACACCCCCTCTCTCTCGCCGCCTGCCCCCAAGTCTCCACCCTCTGACCATATTCGTCTGTCTTTCTGCACCTAACCACCGCTGAGCTGCCGCAACCATGTCTTGGAAGCTCACCAAGAGTGCGTGTCCCTTCCCCTCGTCTGCGCTGCCGCTCCAATTCTAACCACCATTGCAGAACTCAAGGAGACGCACCTGGCGCCCTTGGCCAACACATTCAGTCGCTCGTCGTCGACGTCCACAATAGTCAACGACCAGGCCACGCCCAAGGCCTCAAGCCATGCGAGCAGCCTCACAGACGCAAAGGACAATGGCATTGGTACAAACACACGCTCCCACTCCTGCTTTCGCCTCTGCTAATCACAGATATAGCTGCGTCCGAAGCACACTCGTCCGCGCCTGCTGGGCCCCTGCGCCCAGGTATCCTCATAGTCACCCTGCATGAGGGTCAGAAATTCTCGCTGCCTCCGGGCGCTGAACAGCAATTCAGCGGCCAGGGCCACCACCAGGGCTCCTTGTCCCAGGGTGGCGGCCTCTCTGTCGCTGGCTCAATGCGCCCTGGCTCGTCCTCTCGCAACGCCGCTGGCTCCTACGCCGGCCGCCCACAGTCTGCTGCTGGCAGCATCAACGCAGCACCCACCATTCACGGTCGTTATTCTTCGAAACACCTTCCCTACGCCCTGGTCGACTTCGACAAGCAACAAGTCTTCATCAACGCCGTCTCAGGCACTCCCGAGAACCCTCTTTGGGCCGGCAGCAACACCCAGTACAAGTTCGATGTGTCCCGCGCTACCGACGTCACTGTCTCGCTCTACATCCGCAACCCTTCCGCCGCACCTACTGCTGGTCGCAGTGAAGACATCTTTATCGGTACTCTCAAGGTCACGCCACGATTCGAGGAGCAGCAGCAGCAAGATGGAAAGCCGGCAAAGGCAGAAGACGGATCTGGCCAGGCCGGCGCTGACTGGATACCCGTGCAATTTGGTAGTGGTCAAATGAAGGTTGGCGTTAACTTCGTCGAGAACCGACAGGACCGTCTTTCAATCGATGACTTTGAGCTCCTCAAGGTTGTAGGCAAAGGCAGTTTTGGAAAGGTCATGCAGGTGCAGTATGTGCTTACTCTTCTGCTCCCATCTCTCGTATGCTCACAGAAAATAGGAAAAAGGACACGCACCGAATCTACGCCCTCAAGACTATCCGCAAAGCACACATTATTTCCCGCTCTGAAGTCGCGCATACCCTAGCCGAACGTTCAGTATTAGCCCAGATCAACAACCCCTTCATTGTGCCACTGAAATTTTCGTTCCAGTCGCCAGAGAAGCTCTACCTAGTTCTAGCATTTGTCAATGGTGGCGAGCTTTTCCATCATCTGCAGAAGGAGCAGCGTTTCGATATCAACCGAGCCCGATTTTATGCTGCTGAACTTCTTTGTGCTCTGGAATGTCTACACGGTTTCAATGTCATCTACCGTGACTTGAAGCCAGAGAACATTCTGCTCGACTACACTGGACACATTGCTCTCTGCGACTTTGGTCTCTGCAAGCTTGACATGAAGGACGAAGACAGGACAAACAGTAAGTTGCTTAGGACCCTTGCCGCATCCTGACACTGACCCTGCATAGCGTTCTGCGGAACCCCAGAATACCTTGCTCCTGAGCTTCTGACTGGTGCTGGCTATACCAAGGCCGTGGATTGGTGGACGCTTGGTGTGTTGCTATATGAGATGTTGACTGGTCTGCCACCATTTTACGATGAAAACACCAACGACATGTACCGCAAGATTCTTACCGAGCCTCTTCATTTCCCAGGCCCCGAAGTCGTGCCGCCAGCTGCGCGCGACTTGTTGACTCGCCTGTTAGACCGCAATGCAGAGAAGCGGTTAGGAGCCAAGGGCGCAGCGGAAATCAAGGCACACTACTTCTTCCATAGTATCGACTGGCGAAAGCTGCTTGAGAGAAAGTACGAGCCTAGCTTCAAGCCCAATGTGGTATGTATACTCACAATACCCAAATATGGACGCATGCTAATAGACCGCAGGTCGACGCAAAGGACACTGCAAACTTCGACCGCGAGTTCACTTCCGAGGCGCCGACGGACTCGTATGTCGATGGACCGATGCTCTCCCAGACGATGCAACAGCAGTTTGCAGGCTGGTCATACAACCGCCCCGTTGCTGGTCTCGGCGATGCAGGTGGTTCAGTAAAGGACCCGTCTTTTGAGGGCGTGACTGAAAGATAAAGCACTTTTGGACTCAAAATAACTCGGCTTCGGAGCCGTTGAGTTGGTGCTTGGCTTGTCCCGGCGATGGAGCCGAGCGCAAGGAAAATCATCCACCGGCTTTGGATGGCTCCACAGACAGAATGCATATTGATTGGTGGCTTCTCAGCGCTCTTTGATGCTTTTTTGGGTTCGGGAGCAACGGTATGGCGCTTGAGGCAGCATTTGTATGAGACATGCCTACATTCAGGCAAAGCAAATCAAGACGATATCCCCATTGAATCACATGCCCCCAATGGTGCATAATAACTCACCCATGTGCATAGCCGTAGCGCCCATGAGACACACCTTACTCATCGGCTTGGTAAGGCTAGAGCCAACGGGAGAGCTGCTGGCCGGCTTCCGAATGCTGGTAAAAGTGGTGCCCCTCTCAACGAAGCTCTGACGCAAGCGGGGGTCTCGGCCGCGCGCGCCCTTGACAATTCTCCTACCTTTCAGCCAAAACACTAACAATCACCTCATCAACTCTACTTGCAAATCTTCACTCGTCTCTCCCTCTTGTAATTGACCCCTCCTAATATCCGACTGTTCACCGTGGAAAACTTTGATAGTTCGTATACACCAGTCCCATATACGTCATTCCATACTCACCCCACCTTTCCAGCCCTGTAGCTCAACATGCCTGGCTTCGCACAAGCCTCGGACCTCAGCGCCTGGTCTGCGCTTCAGGATCACCACCAGAAGCTTGGAAAGGACATTGTACTCAAGGAGTACTTCAAGAAGGACCCCCAGGTAAGACACCGACAACCCGATGCATCCACTGTCTAATCCCTCGTAGCGCTTCGAGAAATTCAGCCGTACCTTTAAGAACGATGCCGAGAACTCTGAGATTCTGTTTGACTTCTCCAAGAACTTCATCACAGAGGAGACCCTGAAGCTGCTCGTCGAGCTTGCAAAGGAGTCTGGTTTCGAGAAGCTCCGTGATGACATGTTCGCCGGTGAGAAGATCAACTTCACTGAGAACCGTGCTGTCTACCATGTTGCGCTCCGCAACGTCTCCAACCAGGAGATGAAGGTCGAAGGCCAGAGCGTTGTCGAAGATGTCAACAGCGTTCTCGACCACATGAAGGAGTTCAGCGAGCAAGTTCGCAGCGGCGAGTGGAAGGGATACACTGGCAAGAAGATTGACACCATCATCAACATTGGTATTGGTGGATCTGACCTGTATGTTGCCGTTGCGTTACAGAGCTTCGATTGGCGTCACTAACATGGAACAGTGGCCCCGTTATGGTCTCAGAAGCCCTCAAGGCCTACGCTAAGCGCGACCTCAAGATTCACTTCGTCTCCAACATTGACGGCACACACATCGCAGAGGCCCTCAAGGACTCCAACCCCGAGACCACCCTCTTCCTCATTGCTTCCAAGACTTTCACCACCGCTGAGACCGTCACCAACGCCAACACTGCCAAACGATGGTTCTTGGACAGCGCAAAGCAAGAGGACATTGCCAAGCACTTTGTCGCTCTCTCTACCAACGAGGCAGAAGTTACCAAGTTTGGTATTGACAAGAAGAACATGTTTGGCTTCTCTGACTGGGTTGGTGGACGTTACAGTGTCTGGAGTGCCATTGGTTTGAGTGTTGCCCTCTACATTGGCTTCGACAACTTCCACCAACTCCTTGCTGGTGCCCATGCCATGGACAAGCACTTCAAGGAGGCCCCTCTTGAGCAAAACATTCCCGTCATCGGTGGTCTGCTCAGTGTATGGTACTCTGACTTCTTCGGTGCCCAGACACATCTTGTCTCTCCGTAAGTTTGTGACATTGATCAGGTGATGTGTATTCTAACTGTGGTCTAGATTCGACCAGTACATGCACAGGTTCCCTGCCTACCTCCAGCAACTTTCCATGGAGTCAAATGGAAAAGCCATCACCCGCAGCGGTGACTACGTCAAGTATACCACCGGCCCCATTCTGTTTGGTGAACCCGCCACCAACGCACAGCACTCGTTCTACCAGCTCCTTCACCAGGGCACGAAGCTTATCCCAACCGACTTCATCCTGGCTGCCAAGAGCCACAACCCCGTTGACAACAACAAGCACCAGAAGATGCTTGCTTCCAACTTCTTCGCCCAGGCCGAGGCCCTCATGGTCGGCAAGACACCAGATGAGGTCAAGGCTGAAGGAGCACCAGAAGAGCTTGTCGCCCACAAGACGTTCCTTGGTAACCGCCCAACTACTTCGATCCTGGCAGACAAGATCACACCGGCTACCCTGGGTGCCTTGATTGTCTACTATGAGCACCTTACCTTCACCGAGGGTGCCATCTGGAACATCAACAGCTTCGACCAGTGGGGTGTTGAGCTTGGCAAGTCGCTGGCCAAGAAGATCCAGGCTGAGCTTGATGACGACAAGGAGTCGACTGCTCACGATGCCAGCACCAGCGGGCTCATTAATGCGTTCAAGAAGAAGTCTGCCCTGTAAATGACGAAATGCATGTGATGGTAGAGGCACGGCTGTAACGGCTGGAGGATTTCCTGAAAAAGGGCAAATCAGTATGTAGTATGTAAGCGCCTGGAGCATCCCTAGATAGCCACAGCATCATGATATACGAATGAATAAATATGAACATGGATACATTTTGCCTTTATGGACTGATGTGTGAATTCTATGTTTTGTATGACTGTTTGGTAAGTGTTTTTAGTCGGCTCTCTTTCCACCTCTGTAACCATATCCTCCCAAGCCATAACCACTACCCATGCTTGGAGCACCATCCCTAGCGTTCGCAACAGGCAGCCCATACCCACTCCCTCCATTGCCGAACCCTCTTCCACCCCCATTCATCCTATCTGTCGCATACCTCTTAAGCCTCCTAGGCAACTCTACGCCTCTAAAGTAAACTACACAAACTGCTGCACTCGCTACAGCACTCAGGAAACAATACACCAACGTACTCGTATAAATATGGCCCCCATACCCACTCCACCCCGGCGGCAACGTCGTACTCGGATACCACCTAACCGCAAACACCAACGGCAAACTATCCCCAATCGTAATCTTCGTATTCCGCGTATGACTACTCACACTATACGCCGTCGCCGCATCGATCGTTCCAGGACTACTCTGTTTCGGGACCGCGTGGACTAGTAGATTCAGATAATTACCCACGTGTAAGTGCGAGAGTTGCAGGGTTCCTGCTAGTGCGACGACGAGCGGCGTGTAAGAAGAGGATTGAGATCCAAGTGCGCCTTCTTGGGTTGAGCTGTCCGAGACGATGTATTGGGTTGCGAGGACCGAGGGGGGGAGGGGCTTCGAGGGGATGCGGCAGGAGAGGGGGGCGTCGTTGTGGATGTAGAATTCGAGGACTGTACCCAGGAGGTTAGTTACGGATTAGAAGGGTTTTTGTGGGGTTTGAACGGGGGGAAGGAGGGAGGGAATAAGGACGTACGATGGAAGAATTCATCAGTTACAAAGTCTATTGTGCAGTTCACGTCTTTTTCGACGCCAAAGAAGAGTTCGAGGGGGCGACCGGTTTCGTTGCAGACGGGGAAGGGTATGTATTGTAAGTGGCCGGCTGCGTCTGTGATCTGTTTTTGCTTTGGTTAGTTTTTCTCTTTTCTTCGAGGTGTGATTGCTGCAGCGTGGGTATGGCTGGAGACGTACATGTTCACCTGTTTCTCTGGGGAGGAAAGTATCAGCGCATGTTCTGTTGTTTGTTTGCAACACAACTCGACTTACATGGTGCGATTCAGACAGCTGACTGGAATTGGCTCGCCGGGATTATATCCGCGTTGTTCTTCCAGAGTGCCCAGCGGCTCCTGGCCGCTCAATGCCGTCGCAAGCGTGCTGAAGAAGGAGAAGAGAGCCACGGCTGGGAGCCAGGGTCTCTTGGACAATTTGGGTGGCATTCTGCTTTTCTTTTTTTTCTGGTTCTTAACGATGCGATTGTTGCTATTGCGAAGACGTTTCGATGTTTGGTGACAGACTGGTTATTGGGGGTACATTGCGCTGCGCACGAGGGCAGCTACGGGGTGTGGTTCAAGATGCGCCGTGTCAACTTGAGGACATGGTTGGGTTCATGGTTGGATGGCCTGTGCGCGGCTGTCTTCCCGCGGCGGCTCAAGACCTCCGGGCCAACTCCGCAGTGGTTAGGGGATCCAATCATGGGTTTGGTACGGTTGGATTATTTCCATTGCATATATGATCCAGTGCACCTGACAGGGTGAAGAAGTGGTACAAGACAGCGTGTAGAGAAAATCAGCTGTAAATGGTGTGCGTGGAATCTAATGTAAGATGGTACCCGCACCACATGCCTTTGAGATTTCGAGACCCCTATGCAGGCACATGCAAATACTGTTATAATACAGTCTGTGAACTTCGTACCTAAGTCATACATGGCGCATCTTCTGGCTCCTGCGTCGTATGCGCTCGGACATCTACCATCCCTTCCTCGTCAGCTCAGTGACTCGTCCAGTGATGTCCCTGAAGCCTTGCTTAAACCTCGCCCTCCACCTCTCTGACGCCAACCTCTTTCGTTTTAAGCCCCCTCGTTCGTGAAACCTCTGTCTATTGAAGTCGGCTTTGACTTTGTTGCGCGCCACTAGACTGCCCAGCATGCCAATTCCCCGCACAATATCTCGTCCGCGGCTCGCATCCAGCTCCACTGTGCGTCCGTATGTTGGGTTAAGGCGCGGGTAGGAGGAGAACGTTTCTTCTTGCTGTACGGCTAGGCTGGATGCATCAGAAGGCTTGTTGGACAAGTTGGGGTTCAGCATCGAGTCGGGCAGCGCCATGGAGTCAAAGGCTAGGCCCGGTGGGCGAGAAGGTCGCGAGCGGGTTGCGTTTGAGAACTCGGCACCGAATACACGTTTGTTCTTCGATGGTGGTGCGGCGTTTTGTTGCATATATGGTGGTGGAGTCCGGTTGGTGGGCATACCGCTGAAGAGAGAATCGATTGTTCGCGTGGTTTCGTCTTGGGTGGGCTGTGACTGGGCTTGTGGCTGTGATTGCGCTTCTGTAGCCGCTTGTTCAGAGATGTAGCGGATCATTGGTCTTTTTGATTCTCCTTCAGATGCGTAGCTTTGGTCATTGTCATCGTTCCTCGTCGATTGTGCCAGTCGAGTTGGGGTGTGGGAGAAGCCGCGGTGACATATCCATGGCCATGTCTGCTTGCCCATGTGCGCATGTGGCATGCGGGCTATGGAAGACGGACGAAGCATCAGCTCGCCGAGGCATTTCGAAGCCATTTTCGACGTTGTGGTGCGCGACAAGATTCAATTGCGGATTCGCGGGGGTCGAGCATGCAGATGATGCACGTCGCAAACGCAAGTCCCAAATTCTTCGGAGGTTCGGTGAGGTCCGAGCGCCTTTGCAGCTCCAAATCTCGTCCGCGACGTGCTCTCGCTCGCTCGCCAACCTCTCGCCAAAGTGTCACCTTCACACGAATACCCTTTGCGAGTACCGTCTTTCTGACTTTTATATTCTGTTAGGCTCTGCAACTGCGTCTTCATTCAACATGTACGGTTACCCTGGTACGTTCGCACATTCCTGCATCGCGGAAACAACTAACATGCGCAGGTGCTCCGGGCTACAATGGACCTCCAGGCTATGCAGGAGCTCCGCCTGGCATGGCCCCTCCTGGAATGGGTGTGTAAAATGGCTCAATCAATTCAAACTCACGCTGACAAAGTGCAGGTCCTCCAGGCGCTGCAGCTCCCCCTGGTGTAGCACCTCCGCCAGGTGTCGCAAACGCTCAGATGCCCCCAACAGCAAACGGATCCCGCGCCCTTCCATCCGGCTGGCAGCCACCCGCAAGCATGCCAAACTTCAACTTCAACGCGCCCGTCATCCGCCTGGGAACACAAGGAGGTCGTCCTGGCGCGGCCGACAGCCCAGTAGGCGGCCGCAGAGATAATGCAGCACCACCCACTCGTCGTGGGCTTGGTATGGACAGAGATGGCGATCGCCGAGATGGACCTCAACCCGTTAATCCACCCACTCGTGAGGAAATTGCCAGGACCATTTTTGTTGGCAACATCCCGGATGGCGTTGGAGGTGATGAGGGCATGGAGCGCATTCTAGAGACGGCAGGAAAACTGGTCCGGTGGACGAGGGCAACCGATGCCAACAACAAGCCCCAGACATTCGGTTTCGCAGAATTTGCCGACGCGCAGAGCTTGGAAACAGCGGCAGAGATCTTCAAAGATATCCGTGTACCCACAAAGCGCCAAAAGCCCGGAGGCGCGGCAAAGAAAGAGGATGGCGAAGAGGAAGAGGTCGAGACTACCAAGTTGCACATTATGGTTGACGATGCCTCGATCAAATATGCCGAAGAATGGAGCAAGACTCGAAACGAAGATGAGGCTACAGTTCAGTTCCGCCTTGATAGCGCAAAGGAAGCCCTTTCCTCGGTCCTCGCAAGCTTCTTCAACCCGCCCAATGCGCCCAACATGGATTACGCAAGCGATACAGTCATGCAAGACGCGCCGACACAAGATGGCGAGGATGTCGAAGTTGCGTTTGTTAACCTCGCTACTGGAGAGGACGAGCTTGCAGACATTCCAGCCGAAATGCGCGAGGTGGTCGCCGCCGAGATAGCCGCCTTCCGCGACCGTTCCAACCAGCGCGACCGCGACCGTCTACGGAGGGAAGAGGAGCTCGAGGCCGAAGAACGTCGCCGCAGTGGTCGGCGCGCAACGCCACCATCCTCTGCCCCTAGTGGACCTGGGAATGCTAACGGTGTACCATTGGGTCCAAGGGCAGAACGAGGTGTTCAGGGTGCCCCCAGCGGACCCAAGGGATCGCAATTCCCTCGCGACTATCAAGCTGGCGTCAACTTTGTGAATGGCGGTGCCGTGAACAATGGCGTCTATGTTTCCCGGGAAGATGACGATGATTCCGCCAGCGACTCTGAACTTGAGCGCCGCCGTCAAAAGAAGCGTAACGACGAAGCTGAAGAAGCGTACAAGAAGCAGCTTCATCGATGGCTCAACACAGAACGCCGTACTGTGGCCTCGCTTGATCGTACCAACGACTACTTCAAGAATATGGATGCTGAGCGTGAGAAGGCTCGTGTCGCACAGTCTAAGCAACTCCGGGAGTTTGATGACGACCAAGAAGCAGCTTCCAGGCGCGATTTATACTACCGCGATCACAGCGATTGGATCCGTGAGCGCGAGAAGGTTCGTGGCCTCGAAGCTAAGGAAGACGCCATCGATCGAGACCAGGAGCGACGCGAAATGGCGGCCCAGAAGCGACAGCAAGACCATGCTCGTGGTCAAGCCGATGCTTTCCTGGAAGAGCAAGGCGAGGAACTGATGCGCAGGGAGGAGCAACGCGAGCCAGCACATTTCAAGATTTCTCTCGGTGCAGCTGCCAAGAAGCTCGAACAGACTGCTGCTCCCCGTCGCACCGCCGCCGACGTCGAAAATCTTCTCGAGGATGAAGATCTCACCGACCAACCCGGTTCCAAGAAGCGAACACTTATCCCCATCAACTTCGATGCTGCTGTTCGCGCCAATCTTACCCAAGAAGAGATTGAGGAAGCTCAGCGACAACTTGCACGTGACATTCCTAACGACAAGGAAGGCCTCTGGAATTGGGCCGTCTCTTGGGAGCACTTGCCTGAGAAGAACATCAACAAGGATATTAAAGAATGGGCTGCCAACAAGGTTCTTGAGATTATGGGCGTTCAAGAAGAAATGCTTGTCGATGCTATTGTTGAACACTTGAAGAGCAGAGGCGCACCACAGCCTTTGGTGGAGAATCTGGAAGTGGTAAGAGTTCTTGCTACCTCAATGTGCGGCATAACGTGTTGCTAACAACCAGTCTAGGCCCTCGATGAAGAAGCAGAAGCTCTGGTCAAGAAGCTTTGGCGCATGGTCATCTACTACAGTGAGACTGAAAAGAGGGGGATCAAGTAGGCTTCTTGCCTATGCATCTAAAGTAGCATTGTCGTTTAAGGTCGGGTTTTACCGCATGCTCAATTGAAAGCCCACAGTGGCTTGAGCGTTCCCATGATTCGGGCGAGTGAGTATCTAGGCGATCTTGCCTTGGTTAGCTATTGACGCGTTGTAGGGTCCTTGGATCTTGCATCACGATACGAAGTGTAATTAATGGATATATGGAGAGAATGGAGTCTCAAGTCAGGTCTGTCCAGTCATTTTCGGTTGGTGCATTATTAACAGACAGGCTCATTGCAATCCCTACACCTGTTGTAATTGGAGCCCATATACTGATGACCTCGCTTCCGCTATGCTCAGGGTAGGACTGGGGTGCCTGGTGAGCCCGGTACTCTCAGGCTGACGGTGATATCCGGGGGCCCCTGCCTCCTCTCATCGCTGTAAGGCCAAGATTCCGTGATGAAAGGTAGGTTGCACATAAGCTGTGATTCATGCAATTCTTCTATTCCTTGGAGACACGATGCTGTTGTTGCAGTATACGACAGCGTCGTTCCAGCCTGGTAATGCGTTGTCAAACTCAAGCTTCTTGCCTAGACGCGAAGCATTTATGAGGCGTTTCTCTGTGCATGTCGACCAGGGTTCCATCCACTCGCACGAGTGCTGGAAATACTTAGATGCGAGGTAAATAAATTATCGGGATCCGCATCGGAGCGGTTGTAAAAGCCCCGGTTTTTGCCAGCCCCAAGTAGTGGCGTGGCCTAGTTCTTCCACGAATGACGAGGGGCAAGTGGGGTTGCGCTACGGCATTGTCACGATAGTTGAGGTGGATGGGTAGTCGCGTGGATGACTTGCTAGTCAAATAGAAGTCTAGATCTGTTCTCCTCCAGTATAGAAAGGGACACTTTTCTTCATCAGTCTCTTCACTTTTCCTCTCTTTTTCAATTTTGATCAGTTGTCGAAGGCAGTTTAGTTACTAAACAGACTTTGCGGGGTATCACGCTGCGTTCCGAAGACATTCCGAATCAGAATCACAGGACACATCACCGCCATGGTTACAATTACAGGTGTTGAGACGAAGGACGTGCGGTTTCCGGTAAGTCTTATATACACTTTAGGGCTTATGTTAGGGATTGGGAGGCTCATGACGATATAGACATCCCTCGACAAGACTGGCTCCGATGCTATGAATGCCGCTGGAGATTACTCTTCAGCTTACTGCATCTTGCACACCGACTCAGAGTTCAAAGGTCATGGCATGGTGAGTCAGAGATTTTGCTTTCCAATCAACTGTATAGAGGAATTGGATTTGTAGAACCATTGGCACAGTGGACATTGTGCTTCAGCACAGTCCCTGAGCGTAAAAGACACTATTTCTCACAACAGAACGCCTGAACCACGACATATTTCTAACCAAACACCAAGACTTTCACAATCGGCCGTGGAAATGAGATTGTATGCACCGCCATCACCCACCTAGCAGACCGCATCAAAGGCCACACTCTCGACTCCCTCGTCGCCAACTGGGGCAAGACATGGCGCCATCTGGTCAATGACTCCCAACTTCGCTGGATCGGCCCCGAAAAAGGCGTCATCCACCTCGCCCTCGGCGCCGTCGTAAACGCCATCTGGGATCTCTGGGCTAAATCTCTCGGGAAGCCCGTCTGGCGCATAGTCGCAGATATGACGCCGCAGCAAATCGTCGACCTAATCGACTTCCGCTACATAACCGACGCCCTAACCCCAGCTGAAGCTCTCGAAATCCTCACAAAAGCTGAAGCAGGCAAGAAAGAACGCCTCCAGGAAGCCCTCGACAGCCGCGCCGTACCCGCCTACACCACGTCTGCGGGCTGGCTGGGCTACGGCGAGGACAAGATGCGGAGTCTGCTCCAGGACACGCTGTCGAAGGGGTACAGGCATTTTAAGCTCAAGGTGGGAAGTGATATTGCGCAGGATAAACAGCGTCTGAGCATCGCGCGCGAGATTATCGGGTTTGACCGCGGAAACGTGCTCATGGTTGATGCGAATCAGGTGTGGAGTGTGCCCGAGGCGATTGAGTATATGAAGGAGATGAAGGAGTTTAAGCCGTGGTTTATTGAGGAGCCGACGAGTCCTGATGATGGTATGTTCCCCCTCCCCAGTCCACCTTTTTCCTTCTCCTTTTCCTTTTCCTTTTCCTATCTACTTTTCTTAGGAAAGGAATGACAAACTAATGGAATCCAGTCCTCGGCCACAAAGCCATCCGCGAAGCCCTCAAACCCTACAACATCGGCGTCGCCACCGGTGAGATGTGCCAAAACCGCGTCATGTTCAAGCAGTTCCTCGCCTCGGGCGCAATCGACATTTGCCAAATCGACGCGTGCCGTCTCGGTGGCGTAAACGAGGTCATCGCCGTGCTCCTCATGGCTGCCAAGTTCAACATCCCCATTGTACCGCACTCTGGTGGCGTGGGTCTGCCAGAGTACACACAGCACCTTTCTACGATTGATTATGTGGTGGTGAGCGGCAAGAAGAGTGTGCTTGAGTATGTGGATCATTTGCACGAGCACTTTTTCCACCCGAGTAGGATTGAGAATGGGTACTATGTTACGCCTATGGATCCCGGGTATTCGGTTGAGATGAAGCCTGAAAGTATGGAGAAGTTTAGTTTCCCTGGTGGTAAGGATGGGTGGTGGCAGTCTGAGGAGGCGAGGCCGATTTTGGAGGGTGTGAAGATTTAAATTGGTGTTGGGAGTTGAAAAGTAGAAATATGATTCATGTTTTTTTTTGCAGTGCTTATTTTGAGACATGTATGGTGTGGTTTGATGTAGTTGTGGTTTCAATGAGTTCTGTCTTTGGGAACGTGGGGTAAATCGTGTCAGAAGACGCTAAGTGGGTATATTTCTTGTATGTCATATTTTACCGTCTAATAGGTCGAGTGATATGAGGAATGCAAGTAACTTCGTTTGTGTTCAGCTATGGACACATGTGGGCCAACTTCATCCCTGGCCTCCAAAATATCACTATTCGTTCAATTTTCTGGATACCAGGGCCCAAAAATCGTATGGTGTCAATCTTAGCAGGTCTCCTTTTTATGAACTGTGTGTCTTAGACACCATTCCCTGCTCTGACTACCCGTTTCATCGCCCAATTAACCTTCCTTTTCTCACTGTTTCGAGGGTTTGAAGGACATAGTAGCCCATAAGCTTGGGTTGCGCTATGATCATTCAAGAACTCAATTCCTTATTGGTCCCTGCATCGTGAACACGGAGTGCTTAGTAGCAGAATGAACCAAGGCATTCTTGCCTGCATTGCGCCAACTTCGAACACGCTTCTCTGATCTTCCTTGCGCTCACCTCATTCATGTGGTGGGTACTCTTTTCACGGATGTGCCATTTACGCTGCGTGGCCTAGACAAGACGACGATTATCCCATATCCCTACGTGCCGTCGCAAATAAGGTTCCACCTTCCCTCATATGGATTTGGAAGGATGTATGGACAACATGATACCAATTCAGAGCCCGATATCGATCTCTCCCTCTGCAAGAACATCTTTTCGGCATATCACTTCTTATTATGTTGTATGTCTCAACATATATCCTCCAATAAAGTCAAACAGATCCGATGGGCCTTGGTTGTCGGGTTTTGATATATCAAAATATGCCAGCGCACCTATGCTCGCTGCCAAACTGTCACCCTGAGTACGTGGTCAGTCTTTATCTCATAAATAATATGCCCAGCTTACGTAGTTAGAAGACACGGTCTCCAGGTGTGGGAGTTTCTTATATTTCTTGTGTTCGCTCGTTGGTATGACTAGGGAGGGGTATTTACTGCATCCGACAAGTATTGTTGGCACACTAGGAAGATCTCGTCGGGCTTCTATGTTCAACTGCAATTGTTATTCATGACCCCTTCAGCGCAAAATTTACAGTTGGACATACCCCAGACGCTGTGTATTTGAATTCACTAGGCTCGTTGATGTCGACACAGATCAACAGCATATGGGTGTTGCTAGGGGAATGAGGAAGCAATCTTGCGTATATTGCCTCAGGCCTGATTTCCCATACATCAAAATCAATCTGACGGCCTTCGATATTGATGTTTTTCTTCCAGATATCTACCCTTGGAGACGCTGCTGAGAATGGAATTGAGTTTGGGCCCGACGTCCATGAGCGGGCAAGGCATTTTTTGGCACACTGCGTATCTCCAAGCAATAATATCTTTCTCCGTATAGAACCAGCTGGTGTAGGTTGTGCTGAAGAACTGGGCAGGCCATAAATCAAACTTGTTCGGTCCCAGTTTTGCTCTTCTTGATCCTGCCGCTGCAAATCGGCAGCACCATACATCCCTTCTCTACAGCTAGCTTCATGAAGCCATGCAGCATCGAGTGACATGTCTGAGAAAGAAATATGGCAAGTAGGACAACGCGTCTGATCCGGATATCCTGGAGGAATTTTACCCCCGGGTGTTGTACTGGCATGTGGGTATGCGTCCCACCCCTCAAAAGATGGCGACATAGAATAGATCGATCCATCGTTTGATGCTGCATGTAAGGGGACACTTAAAGCCCAACTTTCTATACTGGGGGTAACGTAGGGATATGCATCCGAGACAAGGGATGGGGTATTGGTTCTCGGCTTCCGAACCCTCGAAAAGGTCTGGGAAGAACTTGCTACAGCACGTCGGCCCGTTTTGTCACCTTTGAACGCGGCGTAAGATCTTGCTAGTAGTCTTCCTATGAACCCTTGGCCAGTGTTTTTTTGATCTCTCATGCTTGAATCCGACGCATCATGTCGTATCGGTGAATTTTCCCCAGATGTTGACACATCACGCCATCCCCTTCCAATGTAGCCCGGATTATCTGGATCTGAAAGCGTGTGAAATCCCAAATCAGTGTTAAATATACTAGCTGAAGGCGAGGGTGGTACCGAGGGACCCTCCCACGGTGTGCCCGGGTCCATTCTTTTGAGATCTTCGATTGTGTCGAGTGTAGGAGGTTGGATCTGTGAGAAACTTGAGCGCTCTTGATCCAGCTTCCTACTTCTATTGCCTTTTGCTTCCATAGATGTTGTTTCTGAGGAATGAGGCCTCAAATGTGGGAGGGGGGATTCGACACGTTTCTTGGGATGAAGTAGTCGGTTGTCCTCACCCCCAAACGCTATGATGTCGGTTTCCGCGTGTGGAAGATTCTCTTCTACAGGCTCATGCGGTTGTAGCATTGTTTTGTCCATCTGTTTCGTCGCGCTAATAGCAATATTTGGCTCAACCTGTAAGTCCAGGATTGATGGAAGTTGTGGCTGAATGATATCTGGATCAAATTCGGCGGACTGGGACTTTGAAGTCGAACGCTGCATACCCTTTGCATGGCCTGAAAGTAAAGCTGCATAGGCCTCTTCCTCATCTTCTTTGCCTTCCAGTTGGCATATCTTTATCAAGAATTCCAAACAGCTTTCGTAATCCGTCTGCCCTTGTTCACCTAGTTTCTTGAATCCTCGCAGGGACCGACGAGCTTGGAGGTGAGCGTCAACATAGTCTTGGTTCTCCATCATAATCTCGACAAGCTTCATAGTATCCTTCAAATAGAGTGCGTCTTTTTTACCAACTTGTTGCTCGGTGATCTGTAATTTCACCCCCATTGTTGCTTTTGCTTCGGTCCATAAGCCCAGTGCGCGATAGCAATCGGTGATATTCTCCAGCAGTTCGACCTTTGACACGCCGCAAACCGTCAAGATTTGTGCTGTTGTAAGTGATGCATAACTCGCGTTTGAAGAAAACCTCGTTAAGCAGTTCTGGAAACGACGAACCGCACCCGTCAAGTCACCCTGCCCTTGGCGTTTCTTGCCTTCTTTGAACAAAGATCTAATCATATCGTTCTCGATATCTGAGTCAGTATCTGAGTGGTACTCAGTCAATGCATCGCCAGTGCTAGCGTCGGGAGGGGTGGGTATGGGAGCTTCCACATCCTCGTATTCATATACGGTATTTGAGGCGAACCAGCGCAGCATAGGTTCGTTTGCATCTTTGACAAAGATGTCGCCAAAATCAGAGCCACATCTACCGGGAATCTTGTCGTTTGAATCTACGTTGAAGTTTGTTGATGCGGTTGACACAACGTCGGCGGCTGATCGAACACACTCCCGTAGATTGGTCATGTATTGGAGTTTGTAGTCATCCGGATCATTCAGATCTACAACTACGAGTTGCAATCTCTCGATTTTCGCATTAAGAAGGGTGCCAAATGAGCGGAATTCATCGTAGAGTTTGTCCAGTGTTGGAACAATCTTATCCGGTATCTTTTCAGTCGATTTCTGAAAGGTTACCTGATTCCAACTAGAGGTTGATTAGTGGGGGAAAAAAGATATATGGAAGAGCAGGATCTTGGTGGGCACTCTTGTGGGAAACCACGATAGTAGTTAGAAAAACGCCAAGGGCTATGCTGACTTACAGGATGATTGTGCTAAGCGAAAGCTGAAGTGCAGTGTGAGAAGATTGGATCTGGTCCCGATATTGCGCAATTTGTCCAGAAGCGCTCTTCAGTCGGATTAGCTTCCGTTGAGTATCAAGCAGTGATGTCTTCTTGTTGACACCGTCCAGGAGGTCGTGTAGCTTCTTCAAGGTGTCGATGCCGTCGTTCAACGAGCGGGCGAGGTTTTTCCAATGGCTGCCTGTATGTCCGGTGGATTGCAAGTTTGATTTGATTTCGTCCTGGTTAATAGTCTCCTTCATAGACTCGAGTACTCGCTTGAACCCTTCAACATCGCCGAGAAGGCCAGCGAGCGTCGTATCCACAGCGCTCGCCTCATTGCAGAACTGGTTGATCAGTACAGTCACTTGGACGGAGACGTGTATGAGCGTGATTATGCTGGCAGTGATGGATAAAGGATCCGACATTCTCAGTCATTGTCTGTCGCAACCGAAAACGACAGTAGCGGTGGGAGACAGAGTGAGTTCGAACAGAGAAGGCTCCAGCGGGGCTGTGTCAGCTGGTGGCGCTTGAATTCAGCCTCACAACCCGAGGCAGACCTAGCCGCAGACGAGGCTGTGATTGCCGCCATGATTAGCTTTTCATTCGGATTTGGAGTTTGCGGGGCTGTTTTAAGGTGTAGTCTTGAGTGCCGATCGTGAGAGAGCATGAGTGGTGTTGAGGCAGGGTCCGAAATCTGACTATGTACTTAAGTTGTGATCACGTGATCGTCAGTTTCTAGTGTAGTAGTAGCACCTCACACGATGCATTAGACTACACATTGAAGAACCTCATTTTGTATAATAAACACCTGCTTCTAAATTGACTAAAAGTTTTCTCAGGTCAATCAGTAAGTTATGCATGACAAAGATAAGGATGACACGCTATCAGTATTGGACGCTCTGAAGCTGCAGAGAAACGAAGCAACCAAACAAGAAAGACGAGTAACGATAAAGCGGAATAAATAGCCAAGATACGATCCGATGAATAGTGCAACATTACTACCTAATGCTATTCAGTCACCTAAAAAACATCGATAGCACATAATGAGCAGGCCTCATACACACCTCCTGATCCTATCACCTCGAATCGCTCCTTGACCACTACTACATTCAACTCTACATGTTCCCAAGCAAACCCGTTCGCTTCAACACCGCCAACACCCTTACCCTCCCATCTACACCACACAACTACAAAACACCCACCAAGAACACCCAGTTTCACGCCTTTCCCTCCTCCTAACCCAGAACAGCCCTTTCTGCCCTCCTCCATTCCCCATCCCCCTTCCCGCGTCCACTTACCCTCCCCTCCCCTGGTCCCAGTCCCCGCGTGGCCAAACCGACCCAGTCCCACGTATACACACGCATGCCGCGCACGTGGAATCAAAGCACGCAAATCAAGTCAGCAAAGTGGGAAACCTCCTCCACCCCCTCCACTCCACCCAGCCCAGCCCGTCTGAAACGAACGCCTCAAACACTTTGCCGCTCTCTGAGGCACAAACCACCAGCAACAGCGAACCCCGCCTCTATCGGCATAAACATCTGTATTAGGAAGCTTGCTCAAGATATGTCCTACGGTATGTTCAAAACTGTTGCAGGAACCGCGTTTTGGGTGTTGATTCGCTGCAAGAGCGGAAGGAGAGGGGTGTGGCTGGCTGAGCGCGCTTTATGGTTGTGTCTGACGGGTGTGTACGCTGGGCAATTTAGTTGAAACTTGGGGCCTGGGTTCGGCGAGCTGTCAGGCGCGCGTCAGATGTGTCTTATTGGGCCCACGGGGTGTCAAACGCGGGCCTTCTTTTGAGCCCTTGTTAAGTGGCTGTGCTGAAAGGGCTTGGGAGAGATGGGGATGGGGGAGGGGATTGATGTTGTGTAGTGTAGTGGAAAAGTGGAGACTGGAAATTGTGGGGACGGGGCGGACGGGGCGGACGGGAAATGGGGGAGTTGTGGTGAGGATTTCTTTGTAATTATGGCGATTTTTCTAGAAGGGTAGTAAGATGGATGATATAGTAGGGTTCATTATTTTTTTGCTTTTTTGCTTTCTTATAGGAAGATAGATGGTTACGCGTCCATGTTAGCTAGTTTTATTTCCTTTTTGGCTGAAGTGTAATTTCGTCCTCGACCGTGCTACGTAGTCCAAACCGAGGCAACAAGGCATTTCACGGACTACGCGCGGCGGGAGAGAAGATGCGACATGTCGCGACGAAAAGAGTAGTAGAAGACCGGATAACACGGGTGAATCGATAAAATCTGAATCCTTATAGTGTTCAAGTAACGACTCCTAATTCTCTCTTTTCCTTATCATCGCGCTTGGGAGACAAAAAGGCAAGAGCCAAGAACCTGGTTATTGGATTTAATGCCTTGCACTCTTCGGTATCTTGGATACTTTGATGATAGCGTATATTGTATTGTGCAACATTGCGGTTTAAGGCACCCACGGCGGAGAGTCTTGTTTCGCCCAGCCGCTGTCTGTAACCCAGGGTGCATCAGAAGATGCTGAAACATGGCAAAGAGGTCTGCGCATGACATGAATCGCCTCCGAACCATCCCCCCTTCAATTAACAGTACACATGCCAACACTTCCAGTTCTATCTACTATGGGTATGATATAAGGACGGGGGCGCGGATCGGTTGATTCTAGGAAAACTACTACTGGTGTGTGCATTACTCGCAAACCCCAAAAGCGTTCGTTCTTTGTACATCTACTCTGAATCTTGTCCCTACAGTCGTTACTGTAAACCAAAAAAAATACACCTTGTTCCAAAGATGCGCATCGAAATCCCAATCGTTTGCTTAGCAGCAACTAGTGTCATCGCTTCACCAATGTCTCCCCCTCTATCGCGGAGACAAGATGCTGGAGTTGGTGCAGGTGTTGCAAGTGCAGGAGCATGTCCCGTAAGTCGTCGACTACTATGATACAATAACTGGATGTGTTACTGACAATGATCTGCAGATGAACTGCTGGAACGAGGCAGCAGTAGTAGCGGGCTGCGATCCCAACACAGACGATGACTGCTTATGCGGTCCCTTTTTCGGCGCTGTGACTTCATGCACAGCGGGCGCGTGTAGTATTGGTGAAAACCTAGGTACGTCCATACCTTTCGTATCTGCAATGACCACATACTGATACTTCCGGACATAGCTGCACTAGACTTTTTGAGCGGGCCATGCGAATAGAAGCATGTCAATGACGATGAAAAAAAATCATGAGACTCGCGCAAAGCGGCAGATACGAGGACGTGTACGAATACAAGATGAAGGCAGAGACCCGGGAAGCGGATACAAGCAGAGCGTCGGCTGTACAACTATACTTACTGTAGCTGGGAAAAAGTATCGACAGGCTTGGCAGTGGTACCAATAAAACCCATGGTACTAGTTTACCATCATAATTGCGCATTTCGTTGCAACCATGAATGAAGCTATTTTCAATGAGATGCAACCCCGCATAAATGTAGCGTGTGATGAATAACCACATGGCAGTGGGCCATGGATGAGATGCGCGTGATATTGTATGGAAAAGAAAATTACCCAATATGGTTATTCAACACCGCAAGAAGATGCTAATGCTTATCCTGTGGGGTTATGCGTACAGTGTCAGAATTCCAAATTACTGTGCAGTAGCGAGGACAGACTTTGGCTGTACATGTTAGTCTCCGGGGGCGCCAAACTACCATGGACCAATACGTAGCCGTATGTCCCCACTTAACACTGAGTTTCTCATATGTTTCTTGTCATGAGACCAACCGTATTCTGTCGTAAATATGCTTACTCTTCTCGAACATATGGCGGTATAATGTAGCATCCAGTAAGCATACCGTGTTGCAGAAACTGATATCGCTTCAAGCGGCTCAACACACATACATTGATTGGATGGACTAGGCTATAGTGAAGCCAGCCGGAGAGCACATGCAAGTTTGTGTTGTGTGCGCCTTCCGTTGCAGACGCGAGTTACGAAAGCTTGCGTTGCTCACCTGACAGAGTGACTCAACGAAACGTATTCAACAAACAGATCTGGCAAGTTCCGTCCGGCATCATGCTTCCGTAACTCAAACTTACACCTACGCCCACATAGATATGTAGTAGGTGTACATAAATGTTTCCCATTCGACTCGATGCGAATTGAGCTTCTCCCAGGTCTGGAGGTGGTGACGATGATCCCGGCGCAAACCTTCCTAGAACTTAAGGCAGATCGGCGGACTAGCTGTTCCCCGCGGCCTATGCTCAGGGCGTCCTACTAAGAAATCTGTGCAGATCAATGAGGGGAGAGGACGGTGACGGTGTGACTTGTGATGACAAGCATATTTGTGCAGACAGCAAGGAAGAGCGTGCTGTGGATATCACCAGCCTTTAGAAGGGATACGTGGGGGGTCAGTTGACGTAAGGTTGCGCGTCTCGTGGACGATCGTTGTGCAAACTGTGAGAAGACTGCCCTGGTTCTCATCTAGGATTGACGTATTGTGCGTATGTGTAAAGTGGGTGTTTTTGAGGTTCTGAAGGGTCTGTGATGTGTGTTTGGCCCAAGGCTGTGCGATATTCGTCAGACGCTCCACTCTCTCTGTGGTCGAGTCGCCACTAAACGCTTGGCTTGTCTTTTGAAGTTTTTACTGTCGCGTGTTGGTTGTGCGAGCAGATCTTCATGCCCGGAGGCCAGGGACATGACTCATTACGGTGAGTTTAGGCGACGAAAGTCTCTTTGGTTGAATTGGTGGCAATATCTTTGTGCGAGAGCCCCTGAAAGCCACTGCCTCATCTCGATCAATGAGCCACAACCAACGGTGCGGGGCCCCAGAGAGCTTAACCGTGGATCAGCCGGCATCATCGGCCATGTCGGTGTTTGACGCATAACCTACTCTTTTTGACCAGACAGTCCACCATTACATCACTGGGGACTGATTGAGACCCTGAAGGTTCTAGACAAGAGACATACCATGTCCATGTCACGATAGATGACGATTGCAGACCGGGGCGGGTGAAGAGATGGTGGTTGCACTCTGGGAGAAGTGATGATTCCGCCTGGCCGAGCCGATTGTTGTTGGTGCAAGGACCCGACTTTTGGCGGCTACGGGGTTCCGACATTGGGCGGCTGTCGCACATGGATGCGGACTGCCAAAAGCACCCCGCAAACGTACATGCTATGAAACTGTATCGCAGACTTGGAGGGTAATGCCCATGTTGTCTGAAACGGGACATGGAAAACGCCGGCATAATCGAAATTTCGGGGCTGGGGATGTGACGTCGGAGGGGACAGTGCTTCCATGAAAGCTTCGACGAAGGCGTACCTTGCATAGCACGAAAGAGTTGGGGCTAATAAGACGCCACCAACGCAGCACTTCAGCGGAGCCCCATTGCTGTCAGCGATGGGGTTTCCGAGATTCTCCGATGCCACGTTCCATGATCAGGAGTTGGTCCCCTACTACACTACGGTATTGGCGTGCGAATTTTTCTGTCGGCTCGGCATAGGCGTATGCTCGGAGGAAGTAACCCCAAAGCGGGGCGAGCTATTGAGGGACTAGCTGCACTCAAAAATTTCTCGAACATCAGATAAGAATAGCGGAGCCAGGGTGACTATGCAGAATTAATGTGGTGTATCAGTGCTCAGGTCCGCGGTGGAATAAAGTGCAAACAATGGTGCATATGAAGCAAAGACGCCGCGTGATTGCGATTCACATAAAGGGCTTTCTTACCGAGGCCGTGAACGTCATCCAGCTCGGGACAGCCGGTCCGTCGCAGGGCAAAAGTCCCCACGATCTGCTCAGGAGCCAAGCACAGGGGCAGCGCCGACGACTGGGGTGCGCAAGGGCTCGAGCTGAAGATAGCCAACAGTGGGTTATGCGGAAATGGCTTGCTCGTCCGACATGGGCCTATACGACATGGGCAGCCCCCTTTGCGTTTGTACAGGGCGAGCCTCGGACGAAGCTGACTGATGAAGACGAGGCTGCATGTGCATGTGTCTGTGTCTGTGTCGATGGACCCGGGAGCATTATCGGGTGATTTCAGGATACATGGTCGGCAGAGATCGCCCTACGTTGGTCTACCGACTCAACCTTCACCTGAGTGTCCGGGACGATGCACAGAAGGCGGGCCGTAGTGGAGGGTAGAACAAAGTCGGCTTGGTGGCACGGTGCTCGAGCCCTTGGTGCGTGTGCGTGCAGCCAGCTGCGAGTGATGTCGCGATGCTGCGCGACGTGTATGCAGTGTACATAGGAACGGACAGGTTGGCAACGACATGGTGGCTCGATAGGATTGTTCGCCCTCGCCGTGACCCCAGGTCTGGATCCCCCACAGTGATGAAATCAAAACAGAGCAGCGCCAGCCCCCGACGGCTGTGGTGCAACACAACTGACAGCCAGTGGGTAAATTGTGTGCGTGTTGGGAAGCATTATTGGCCATGTCATGCGGCCAATGAGGGTGGTCATGCGCGAAACCACTCGAGAGTTGTACGCATCCCACGAGTCTGAATAGTGCAACACCGAAGTCTGCCGAGATGACAATGCAATGTCGCTGGCAGTGGGAGCCAGTGACAGTGCCTCGTCGGGCAGTGGGTGGGCGGAGATGCAGGTGCTGGTGTTTTGGCTGCTTAGACGCTCACGGCGTCGGGGGTGGCTGTGGGCTCTCTCGTCTCACGTCCAGAGGGAGGAAGAGGGCAAGAATAGGGCAGCAGCTCGGGAGGCGCTCGACGAGCGTGTCTGTCTGCATTGCACGATATGATACGATACGATACGATACGATCTGATGGGACCATGGGAATGGCATGGGAACACACCAAAGCCCCCAGGTGATGGTGGTGACGTCTCCGGTCTCCAGAAACCTCCCCATACAAAGGCCACCCTTATCTCTGCCCCAGCCTGGGAGTGCATAGCCACATCCCCACGACCACTGCACTTACGCACGCATGTACACCACGGCAGTCTCTAGAAGAGTCACCACCACCACGCAACCCCACCAGCAACGTTGCATCATTTGACTTGACGGCCTCTCTGTCGACCCGTATACCCGCGCAGCCACTGTACACCTGCTTGGGGACCCCGGCCGTCCGCTGGTACTCGCTGCACACTCCAACCACAGCCTCACCTTGTCGCGACTGGCGACCGCAGTGCGTTCGCCGACACTCACCGCTGCAAAATTTCGCATGCAGAATTCTCACAAATGCAAATTACGTCGCCGGACTCAACCAAAAAATCGACGCTCCACATCCATAGTTGCTGAACGACCAGACCAAGGCAGGTGCCGCTAGCCACGGTGCCATTGCATCGCTCATAATCTCACCCGTCCTCTCCCACGACCCCCAAGGGATCGCCCAAAGCGACTGCGACACCGAAAAGGCCGCCGCTCCAGCTACACCCTGCACCCGCTGCACGCTGCCCTCCGCAAGTCATCACGCAAGTGTGCGTGAGGACCCGCATTTCTTGATACGTCTCCACGACTCGAGCGCCCCCTCCCCCCCCCGAAAAGTAGCCAAGGCGCACTGGCGCACCGCGTTTCTTTCTGCGCGAGCTCCGGCATATCCTCGCCCGCGTAAGCACAGACAGCCCTGACGGCCATCAGTCGACCCCCACACGCCGCCCGCCTAGTTTGATCCATACATATATCCGAGCCCCCCATCCGTCCCCCTTCCCCCCAAACTTTCCCCTCCGGTCACATGCAATCCAACTCTGCCTCGACAGGTTTCGCCAACCTGCTCAACCCCGAAACAGCCTCCCAGAACCAACAGCAACAACAACCACCACCTACCTCTGCACCCACCGCCTCTATGGCCGCTGCCACCGTCAGCCTCATGGCGCCTCTTCTCCAGAACGCCCCGCAACAGACAGAGGAGCCCCGACAGGATCTTCCTAGGCCTTACAAGTGCCCTCTCTGCGACAAGGCCTTCCACCGTCTGGAGCACCAGACTCGCCACATTCGAACCCACACTGGAGAGAAGCCACACGCCTGCACTTTCCCTGGATGCACAAAGAGATTTTCTCGCTCTGACGAACTCACTCGGTATGTCTTCCACCAAGCTTCTTTTTTTGCCTGCACACCAACTAACCCCGCCACACAGACACTCCAGGATACACAACAATCCAAACTCGCGGCGAGGCAAAGGCCAGCAACATGCCGCTGCCCACCAAGCTGCCGTTGCCGCTGTACAGGCGGGTCTCATGGAGCCCGGATCTAACCTTGCACATATGATGCCTCCTCCAACAAAGCCCATTTCTCGCAGCGCACCAGGCTCTCAACTAGGCTCTCCCAACGTCTCGCCACCCCACTCCTTCTCAAACTACTCTCCTGGTATGAGCAACGACCTGGCCGCATACCACCAGGGCGGTCTGAGCAACAGCAGCAGCCCCAGCGGTCTTGCTCGCCCCATGGATCTCCTTGCCGATGCTGCGTCAAGACTGGAGCAACGTCCTGGACACATGCCCCACTCGAGCAGACATCACCTTACCAGCGGGTACCACCCTTATGCCAACCGACTGCCAGGCCTCTCTCAATATGCCTACTCATCGCAGCCCATGTCAAGATCGCATTCACACGAGGATGACGACCCGTACTCGCACAGGATGACAAAGAAGTCGAGACCAGGCTCTCCGTCGTCGACTGCCCCGCCATCACCAACATTTTCGCATGATTCTTGCAGCCCGACTCCAGACCACACGCCTCTCGCAACCCCTGCACACTCGCCAAGATTACGGCCCCACGGCTTCAGTGATCTCCAGCTACCACATCTACGTCATCTCAGCCTCAACCAAAACTTTGTGCCAGCGCTTGCGCCCATGGAGCCGTCGACGGAGCGTGACCAACCGTACGTGCCGAGCCAGTCGTCGGGACTTCGTATTGGGGACATTATTTCCAAGCCAGAGGGTGCGCAGCGCAAATTGCCGGTTCCGCAAGTACCCAAGGTTGCGGTGCAAGATCTGCTCAATGGCCCGAGCAACAGCGGCTTCTCTTCCGGTAATAACTCCGCAACGGCGTCATTAGCCGGTGAAGACCTCTCGAATCGCAACTAAACCCACTCTCAACTCCAACTAGCATGGCATCGGCGTTTTCGGTCAGCATTCTCTGCTTTTCACTTTTTTTTCCCCACCTCTCTTGCATTTCATCATTTTTTCACGGTCAGCAAGCGATGAGATTAATTAGACAAGGGCGCACACACACAAGACCCTTTTTGTAGGGTGGAGCCTGTGGCATATTACGATTTCCCTAACACCACGGGCAAATAGACATTTCTTTTGTAGCTTATCTACTTGTACTTGTTCTACCTATTTTCTTCTTCTACTTCATCTTGTTCACTTATTTCCCAGTTGTTTTTGCCGGATTCAATACCCCGCGAAACCGCGCCAGGCGGTTCGCAATCTTGTATACGCCCCCGGGTCTGCCTCACTTTTGGATGCTAGCTCGCGGGCAGGTTTGGAGGGAGTGGGGGCGGAGGGGTGTGCATGTTGGCAGTGCGGGGAGAGGTCGAGATGAGTAGAGGGTAGTTGCTTAGCTTAGCGCCTAATTGAAACCTGAAAGCAAACTCTAGTGTAGTGCAGCTGTGTACAGTAGATTTCAATTTGCGATTACGAGATATTATGTTATGGACGAGGAAGATTTGCATGTGGGTGACGTGATAGAGGAGCCCGGTGATGCAAGCAGGGAGAATCATTCGTGGGGTAGGGGGGCCGGGTTAGGGTGTGTATGCGAGAGCCTGGGGTTCTGGGGGAGTGGTAGGCTATCTGGCAGGTCTCGGCAACGTCAAGTCTCGAAACAAGGAGGGCGGACAGTCCATGTTCCCCGCAGATAAGTTTTGTTTGATCATTCGGAAGGGCGAGTGATGGCGGAGGGAGGTATGGGGGTTGGATGGGAGTGGGTGAGTGGGCTGGATGGTGCAAGCGTCACGCCAGCCCGCCGCTATGCGGCACCCGCACAGTGTTTTTTTTCTGCATCTGCTCTCACTCTCTCACTCTCTTCGCGCCGAACCTGATCTTCCCCTGCGGGGTGGGCGTGAGACACACTGGGCACCCCCAACGAGCAAGATGCGGTGAGGAGGGGGCCAACCAAGGGCGAGATGAGGGCTGTGTTTCAGTCAATGGGCTGCTTGTGCGACCACGCCCGTCTCCAGCTAACAGTCGCTATTCTTGCACTTGCTTCCCCTTTCACATGCAGCGCGATAAGCCTCGTCCGCGTCTGACGATTCCGGTACAGACTGCGGCACCAGCGCTAGCGGGGCTTATGGCATAAAGGGACCTGGATTTTGCGGAGAGTGAGGAATGTGGAGTACGTGGCACAAGCACACATCGTGGCGCTGCCCATGCGCCCTCGCCTGGGGGCTGCCTGTAAGCATGCCTGTGTGGTGTGGTATGTGGCATGTGTGAGTACGTACTTAGTACGTGGGTGGGCGTGGGTGCGTGGCTGTAGTTGCCCAAAGTGGAACACGCGTCCTCACTGCCTAAACAGGACACGATGCAGCCAGACTGCCAGCCAGCCAGCCAGCCAGCCAGCCAGCCAGGGTGGGCGGGCAGGTCGAGCGCGCAAACACCACGAGTCCTCCAGACACCACACTCACCACATCCATACCCAAGTACTTACTACTTACTTACTCGCATGCATGCTTTCGCCTACCTGCTAGGCACGCTGGCTGCGTTTCCGGTCCCATCCTTGTGGGGATCTATCGAATCTTCACTGCCCTTATCTCGACCTGTCTCCGGCGGCTTCACCCTTGCCAGCCGGGAACCAACAGATGCCTTCGCTCCACGCTGCCATTCGACAATTCTGATATCTGGCCAGCCCCAAGGGCCTGCCCTCGCCAGAGCACAGTCTCAGATCCATAGGCGCGAGCCCATCCAATGGCCTATCTATGGTCGACCCAAAGAAAATTTCTCCCGCCGGTTGATTGTGAGGATCATCTCTGCAGTGGTCCAGCTGGGCATGCACCCCGGACTGGAGCCCCATAGCGTACGCCACGCTACTCCACAACGCGTAATCCGAGCTATGACGATCTCACCTGTCTGACCGTACGAGCCGGCAGGTTTGGCGGCTTCTACCTCCGCCGCCTTACCACGCCAGATTGCGGCGTCTGAACACGGTCGGCCCGCCAGGCGCGAAGCGAAGGCGCACAGCGCACACACATGTGCCTATGTACGTACCTTGATATGTACACATACACATGTACCTACTGGACATACCTGTGCCCGCTGACACCGTTGCCCGTGAAAACCGGTACAAGAACAGCTACCGAGCAGTAATACCGAACAGGGTCTGTCCTTGACATGACAGTACCAAAATCAAATACCTTGCCTGCTTACCGGGTCAAGCGCACCCAGCGCGAATCAAGGTACACACCTACGTAACGTATTCACATGCACATGTACCTCCGGCTGTCGACCAAGGCACTTGCCAACCAAAATTGTCATTGCAAACCTCCGCTGTGGACTGGGCAGGGCCGGCCAAACGCCAATCTGCTCACCAAGCTGGGCATCGTGGCCTCCCTACCAATCACAAACCAGCCGGATCCCGCCCCTCCCTCACTAGCTTCATCAAAAGCAACTGTCACGCACGACAAAGGAGAGCTTGCAAATACTTACACATTGGGTATCCACAGTAGTGTCTCAGCTGACGGAACTGCGCTCCATCTTAGCCGCTTGCCATGAAGCGCCTCTGAATCCAGCCCAGATACCAACCGCCCACGGGACAAGAACGAGTGCCACCAAGCCTTTCCGCCCCTTGCAGACCAACTCGGTGTTAGTACTGGACCAGTTCAGCACAAGGCGTCTAGCGAGCTTCTAGGGCCGCAAATCCAGGTCGCAAATCCATCCTTTGTCCCAGAACTGAGTGCGGGATCTCCACAATGTCCAACAGCGGACCTGCCTGACGAGGAAATGCTGGCGGTTAAGGCTGCCGCCGACGAGTCACGTACCCTTGTCGGAATTATGGCACTCGCCACCCCATTCGCTCCAGCCGAGGAAATTTTGCCGCAAGTAATTGCACCACTCACAGCCGTCAGCAGCACGTCGTGGATTGTGGAGAGACCCTGACTCCACACTCAGATCGACGCGTATGCTACTAAAACAAGTTAGTTTACCGCCCACCGGGGAATCCCATAGTGCCTGCTTGGTCGGAGTCAGGTGCAAAGGGGAAGTGTCTCCGATCCGATGCGGCTCTCGGAACCAAAGACCAGACTATTGCTTTGGCCCTCTCTTCCTCAAAGCTCACGCAGGGAAATTTATCAGACCCAAATGCGCCGATGCGGACCCGTCTCCAGAATATCGACCATCTGTCCTTTGCATCGCGTTTACCACCGGCTAACCATTCAACCCTTCGCCGCACTTTGTTAGTTTAGCACCTTCCCCATTGACTCCACCTCCGCGTGCAAGGACCGCAATACCGCAATACTTGGTCGATGAATGAAGGAATATACTTTACAAAGTACCTGTTGAGGTTCCCCGCATCTGTGCAGCACACGGGATGCAGGCCTCTAGCACAACGGTTTTCATCTAAACCCAACATCATCGTACCGGGCTGTTGGTACTCTGCCCCAGCGACTACAACCGCGTTCACGCCAGCAATATATTTTGCAGATCACACACGCCTGAATAGCAATACAAAGTGCTTAGTGAGGCCCTGCGCAAGGGCGATGCACAATATATTGCAGCTTTGACCGCCGGTTCGTGAACTACAGAAGGGTCCCACATGTGAGCTCGATGAACATCTTTGCTATGACAGTCAACCTGCCTGCACACTGCAGATAGGCATCTTTCCTGTCCACATGTCGTCTGTTCCCTGCTAGAATACTGGATTTGGCATTCCGCTTCAGCCATTCCACCGACATGAAGCCGTGCCAAACCACTGCGTATCTTACAGCCACACTCCCTACGTCACATGTCGAAGCCTAGCAATGACGCACTTGAAAAGTCTCGACTTCTCACATGTTATCCACTTCCAAGATTAGCGTTTTGCTTGGACAAATGTCGTGGCGCGGATCAGGACATGCGCATCAAGTTACCCTGACAAGCAATCAACCAAACCGGCAAGCGATCGCGCATTGTGTGGGCATCGCCAGTCTAAATCAGTATCGCTGTCTGAGTCAATCAACCGCACTCTCCCTTATCTCCACGACTCCACACCCGCAGGGAGATACGTATACCTTCATTTAGACCGTTATTTATCCGCCCAATATTGCAGATAAGCGAAGACCATCCACGCGGCGCAGCGCATTGAAGCAGGATTGCCTATGCTGTCCGTGTGCATGCACCCGCTGCACAGCTTCCAACATGCAGGTCTCACTTCTACCTCATATTGATTAACGTGGGGGGAAGAGGCTACTCATGACAATGTACCAAAGTTTTTCTCGACGACATGTCGGTGGCCTGAGGTTATTGCGCCGGTTTGCTTTCTCCACCACCAATATATGGATAAAAAATCAATAAAGAAAAATCAATATCACGAAACTGCCCAGACCGGCTGGGCTATGAGGCAAAATAAAGAAGTGTGTAGGGTTTGATGGTGGCCAAGGTGCATGTTGTTGAGGTCTGGCAACTGTTTCTGTACCTGCATGCCGTCAGAACATCATCATCAAGATCGTCCACGGGGAACCAGCATACCACCACACCTCTTTTTCCTACACAGGTTAATAAGCTCTCGCATACGTACACTGATTATCAATGTGCCCTTTGCATGTCTTTCTTTCTGCGCCTGACATGTGAAACCAATTGTGGACCCCTCGCAAGCAGTGCACGCGCACCTGAACTATGACCAGAAAAAAAAACAAGAAGCACACCAGGAAAGCCACTAACGATCATCAAGGAGCGGAGTAAGAAACAAACCCCAAAAGCAATCAAAAAGGTCGGCTTTACTTTACCCCAGACTCCAAGAGTCTTGTACCCTTATTTTTCTTGTCCTTTCCCGCCGCACGTCCCTGATATGGAGGGACAAAAGAGCAATGGAAAACTAAAAGTGGCATGAGCACCGGAGAGAGTGTGAGAAAACAAAGACCCGACATTTCTTCCGTCCCGCACATACTTCCCCTCTAAAAAAAAGTACGTCTGTGTGTCAGGAAATTGTTCCGTGTAACCACCATCTCACTCAGGCAACATGTCTCTTTACGGACTACCTAAAGTCTGTTTTTTTGTTGGGGTGCTCATGCGTCACGGCGTGTTCTACTTACAGTTCCCTACAGGTATGTACATGTGCGTACGTAGACTTGAAATATTATTATTACCCGCGGTATCTCGGACCGGCTTCGACACCATCCAAAGCGGGTCCTCGGATGAAACAGAGCTGCCAAAAGGAAGGGAGCATGGACCTCGCTTAGGTTAGGATGTAAGGGTACTTGCATGAATTTATTAGGTACATTGCTTCGTACGGCTATGCTGTTATGGCACCATTGGACCCATGGGGGACCGACCATTTTTGGCTCCCTCGGGTCAGCATCAAAAGGTTAACCTTGTGCTCGGTAATTTGTATACGGACTAGTGAGAGGGGCTGAAGCGGGAGTTTTCGTTGGAGGTTGGAGGATCGTTGGTGGTTCGAGGGGGAAAAAGCGAGGTCCGAGGTACTTTAGAGGGGGTAAAAGGGCGCGGGCGAAGCACGGGGAATGCAGAGACGTTGAGGATTGCGGAAGAAAGACAGCCACGTGCGATTTCAGCCGCGTTCTTTTGGCTCTTGGTTTGGGGGCCGGTTAATGCTGGTGCTGATGGCGCTTTTCTTTTGTGCCGTAATTTTTTTTGGCGACTGCGGAAAGTCGTAGAATAAAAGGTGGGGAGACTTAGTGCTGTCTGCAGGGGCGATGATCGGTGTCTCCGTGTAAGTATACACAGGAGTTTAGGTATCAATATGGTAAGAGCCTGTCGGACCTGTAACTCTGTATGTGGTAACTATCACTCTTTTGTTTTCCCGTCTCTCCATCCTTCTCTTTCTTGCAAAAAAACATGTGGGTCGATTACGTACGCTCCTACAAAGGAAATTACAGAATGTCTTTTCCTCATGCTGCCTCTTCTTCCCCTGAACACACACACTCTCTCTACACCACCTACATCATTCTACACACGACGCAAATAGAGAAGAAATAAAATTGACCCCCACTCAAAAATCGGCGTATTTCCGACATGTGGATCTCCATCGCACATTCTCTTGCCCTCGCAGCTTGCCCCTTCTCCTTTCCCTCCGAGATACGAGCAAAGTCCCCATTTTGACGCACGTGCCCCCCCCCACATTCCGATACATCACTCCACCATGCCTCAGTGCGCAAAAGCGCAAAGCCGCATCACCCCATCTCCACCAAGTAGAAACAACTAGACACAGCCCTTACAACCAATGCCCTACTTACCTACTACATTGGCATCAGGCCTAATTGATTACCCACCACCAGCTACTAACTAGCTACTAGCTACTAACTAATCTCTCTCCATTCTTGCCCTTTCTGCACAGCCATGCCCAAGCCACCTAACCCACCCACCCACCCAATCACCTCTCGCACGCACTCACCATGCGTAGTTATCCCAACTCACCCAAACCTCAAGAAGTTAGAAAACAAAATACTCTCTCTCTCTGACTATTCCATCACATAGCCCAACCCTATTCTTTCTCCCTATCTTCCCAGTGCAAACCCACTCACACCAAAACCTCCACACAAAAAAACGTATCTTTCTCGGTGATTTTGCGGGGGCGGGGGGACACGAAAAAAAGAGCCGGGGGGGGGGGCGCGACGGAACCTCGCCCCAATTGATGCCCGATACAAAAAATATCGTGATTTCTTTCTTTCCTTCTTTCTAAAAAAAAGTTGGAAGTGTCGGATCGGATATGGGGGGCTGTGGGTATATGTAGTACGTGGTGAGAAAGGTTAGTGGTGGGGGGGGGAGAAAGGTGTAGGTGACATTGGGTGTGTGGGGAAGGGGTAGAAGGGGAGATGAAAAGATTTTGCTTGTAAGTTTTTCTTGATGCAGCATGAGAGTGATGAGTTTGCATAGGATACGAATTCGTCTTGCTTTCTTTGTCGTGAGTAACTGGAGTGGTTCTATACATATGGGTGGAGCAGTGTGAAGGACTACTTGGTGATACCCTCTTAGGTACGATGCTATACCACATTCTCAAATCTGCAATGGGTCAGTGTGTATGGAGTTTGGTAAGCTTGAGGAATTTCCATAGCTCCGTGTATACATGGCTGTGTCTATGCTAAAAGGCAGTTACAGTGCATGGCAGTACGAGAGAGTGCGTATACGCAGTGGCCACGAACATCATGCAGTCTCGCTACATCTCGAGTCAGTGCCATGTTTGTATCTACAATGACTGGTCACTTTGTCGACTAGATATGTATATTCCCACAATTGCAATGGCGATTAACGACAAACTAATGTCTGACATATCTTTCCCTCACGTAAAACCGGGCACGAGCATCTCTTCGGTTTAGCTATTTACACATGTAACAACACGAAGCCCTATCCACACAGTAAATTCAGAACGAGCCATTCTCTCCCGGATATCCATTTCTAGTAGTACCGCTTGGATACGAAGACAACTAGCAGCAGTAAATTTAGAGCTGCTTCTCCACTTCTCTCCATACTACAAGACGTAATAGTATACCCCTTATCTCACGCTGTGTACGCAACACCATGCAGAAAAAGCAACACACTGTACTCTTCGGTTACGAGCGCCCCGCATTAATGTCATTTGCCTCAGTAGCCATGAACCAGTTGGTTCGACACTCGACGCCCAGTTCCCACATATTATCCACCTGACACTTGCTAATCCCAATCACCCACACCTAAAAGACGTCACGTCGACATAGAATACATCGTATCCCCAGACCACCAACATCTCGCACTCGTATCACGATCCCCCGCATCAGGCGCCCTAAGAGCAAACGAAGATCCTGGCCACTTTTTCGGCTCAGCACCATGTATTCCGGAAAGTCAGTCGGGCTGCAGCAAACCCCATCTTTGTGCGTAACACCACCCGTCTCCATTGGGGTAAGAGATCAACGGGAGGAAGCGAGGCTGCAGCCTAGGCCGGCGCCAGCGCTGTATGCGGAGAAAGCGTGGGGAGATCGGTGACATTACGAGCTGCCTTGTTGGTGTTGGGACCTTCTGCCTTGGGATATTAGGCGGAAAAGGGAGGGTTGGTGGTGGTAGGCGTGCTACGGCCGATGCTATGCGCCCAAGTTCTCGCTCATAGAGCCTCACTCGTGTGAAGCGAGCCTGATAGGCGCTCATAGAGCTGAAACAAGGCGATCTGCGTCCTCGATGCAGCGTTCCATGGCTGAGTAGCGGTGAAGGGAAAGGACGAATACCCTATTATTGCATGCGCCAGTCCCGGCTGGAGGACGTCTGACACCTGTAGTTTGGCCAAGAACCGCATTGAAAATGCGTGTTTCTTTGGCAAATCCAAGTCATATTGCGCCACCGTGGGCCCTCGAGGCGCAACAAGGCTCATGGCTTGTTACGATATGGGTATGCATACCATGCTCCGCCGTTTTTATACGGTCCGCTTATCATCGTGTACTTGTGTGGCTACCTTTTGCTTCACACTAACATGCACATACGTGACGACGAGCAACTTTGCCGTACACCCCCACGCCCAGCCCAAACCGTCGACCCCGCTGACCCCAGACTCGCGAAGCATCCGGAGCATCAGCATCAAAAAAAAGGGACGACTTTTACCGGTGAGGGAAACCGAGTGTCTGGATCTGGGGGTGCTTCCCCGATCCCTGCGTGCAACTAGTACACACGAATGCGCTGCAGCCCTGGTGTGACACACTTGTGTGTTATGCTCGGATAGCCCGCACTTGCTTTTGTTCGCCTGTCGGAGCGGAATACCGCTAGTGTGGCAAGATGAGACCCAGTCGTGTGGATGTGGGATGCAACCAGTGGACAAAAGCTGCCGCGCGCATTTGCCGGCGGAAGAATAGCACATCTGGGCTGGGCTTCACGATAAGGGACGTACTAGACCGTGGCTTAGACATAACTATGCTCTGTTGCTGATGTCAGAACAGTTGGCGAATGCGTCAAAGTCCGCGCCGGGACGAGGTGCGGATGATATTCCGGGGTGCGGCGCGTCTGAATAACCCCACACGGCTGAATAGCGATACCTGTGCCGTGGGCCGTGGGAGGCTTGGCTCATCCATCTGGATGCGAGATCTACATAGTGATTGGACGCTGGAATCCGGAGAGTAAGGGGCAGGTATCTGTACGAGCTTACCCCAGACGGAAGCTTACTTTCTCCGAATAGCACCAACATGTGGTGCAGTCAACCTGGGAGCGGACCAGTGTCGCGGATTGTCGGGACTTATGATTAATCTCTTAATCTTGGGTGGGTGTAGGAGAAGTCCGTATTACCTTATTCTTGTGGCCATCTGCAATGACATCCAAGTGAGGTGTTGCAACGTCACCCTGATCAATGGATGCTTCATCAATCAATAACCCCTCAGTGGCAACTCCGTCGTCCTCCATCCAACCGTAAAGCTCATCCGAATTCGGTTCTTCGGCGGTATTCTCATCAATTTCGGCGAAGGGTCTCTTGGACATCCGGCCTTCTGTTGGGATAAGAAGAGGGGCTGTAATGTCGTTGGTTGCCATGCTTATGTCGCAAAGACCATTCTGCATCGTGTCAGCAGGCGATCGTCACAGAGAACGTCTAACTGGGTTTGTGTAGATCGAGCCTGAAGGAAGTTGGTTCGACTTACCTTCTCAATAGTAAAGGCCACTACATTGCCGACACCCCCCTCATCTGCAAAGGCTACACCATTTGCTTTCACAAGGCCGGCAAATCGAGCTCTTTGCAACCTTTCGGCGTCCGACTTATCAGTAGGTTTGCCGTGTCTAACCCAATCCCTGAAGAGAACCAGACGAGTGGATACACCGGCTTCCCACTCAACCCCTGAGATTGCTGGAACCAACAGTGCGCGTGAGGCACCTCGGATACGGGTGATAGTCTGGCTTGTGATAAGCAAGACAAGGTCGTGCAGTGCTGCAAACCTGGTGAATGCTGCAATTAATTCATTAATTATAGCAAATCGACGTCCTGCAGCCCATCGTGCTTGGTCGGTCCTATTCTTCGCAATGCGATCATCCGTATGACGGGGATATGCGTTATCAATGAGGGTTGCGAGCGAATCTATGACGATAAGGCTGGTATTTTGCGGGGGAAAGGAAGCGGGCGGATGGACGAAGAGCGCCACGACATGCGCAAGCGTAGGTGCCACGGTATATTGGAAACGACTCCGCATCTCGTCTGGGTACGGAACAAGGATATCGTCGATGCGATGCTGCACCAGAGGCGCGCAGGCAGCATCTGGAAACCTTTAGCCTTTCAACCCAATATTTAGATAGTGCTGCCCTCTACTACATGTACTCACCAACCCATATTACCCGCTGGCCCTCACGCAGTGCCGAGACGGCGGCCTGTATCCTGGAAGCCTTCAATCGCCGTCTTCCCGAGAGTGCAATACAGTCACAATTACCCGAATGTTGTCTTGCCGACCCCGGATGGGCCGAAGATCTCAGTTACTTTGCCGCGTGTGTATCCGCCTGAAGCATCATGGCCCGGAGGAGCTGGAACTGAAAGGGCCTTGTCAAGCTGTGTGATGCCTGTTGATACCGTGCGGGCGCCGCGTGCGTTGAAGTCTTGTAGGGCTTGGGATGCGGAGACGGTGGGTAGCCTATCTATCGTATGTATGAGTATATGTGTACGCAAAATGTGTGCGGGGTGTGCAAGCTTACGCGACAGGGGCGACAGCTGTGAGGCTTCTTCGCCGGCCATTGTAGTGGGGAATGCAATTGAGCAAGCTTCAGCAAGAGTATGCGAGGTTGCAGTCGTCCCGTGACTTTGCCGTATTGAGCATTACGTCTTACACAGTTTTCCTCTTTCTGTACTGTGTCGCAGTAGGTACATAGCAGTCGCGGTGTACTTAGTCAAAGGGCGCGTAGTGAGTGGCGTTCGGTCGATACGCTCATGGCACGATGTCACGAGCACAACCAAGCCCAGGGCACATGACTCGAGCCTCCTTCTCCTCACCTGATACACTGGGTGCTTACAGCAACCCCGCATCAGCAGGAATTCAAAGCGATTTAAGGCATAACACATTGATAGTGAACTAACTTTCTACGTATCCAAATCAACACCTGCCTCCTATGCGTTAGTGTCGAAGGATTTTGCTACGCTTGAGCCTCGGCGTTTTCACGATAACAGCCGCATCTCTCACGCTCTGGATCTACCCACCTCAATTGGCCACGCGACACCTTCGCCAAAATGGCCAAAACCTTCTTTCTCGCAGACAATGAGGATAACGTGATGATGGAGAGAATAATACTCGCGGTGATAGCAGGCCTGTTGCCCTTTGCAATCCTGCTCATCCTCGGCATCCTCCAGTCTCCCAGAGCACTACCTCCGCCAGCTGGCTGTCGGAAACTTGGAATTAAAGGACGCAGCAACCTTGAAGACCAGTACTCTAAGAAATATGCCAAAGGCGGCGACCCAACCCCAGAAAAGCCATGGACCATAAAAGCACTCTTCATCTACCCGTTGAAATCCGGTGGCCCGATTGAATTGGAAAAAACTGAAGTCATTCGAACTGGACTGAAATACGACCGCCAATTCACTCTCGCTCAGCAAGTTACTAGCCTGCCATCTTTGGATGGAAAAGTCTCAAGTGAATGGCAATTCATGACCCAGCGAAGTTTCCCCCGTCTGGCCAAAGTCGAGACGGAAATGTGGGTGCCTGATCCATCAGCAAGAGGCTACAAGGAAGATGGAGAATGGGTGAAAAGTGAAGGCTGTATTGTAATCCGATTTCCATTTACCCCAGATACCGACTTCACCCTGGAAGGCCTTACCAACTATGGAAAGATCTTGGCAGCAAAACTGGTTGGCAAATCCGAACCAACGCTGGAATTCAGAATACCGTTCAACCCGCCGCAAGAGAGAATCAACAGCAAGGGATATACGAAAGAAGTTTTGCATATCTGGATGGACACTCCCGTTGTCCTGAACATGACCTCAGAAGTCGACCGCGAGACCTTTGAAAAACTTCGATACACTCTGGGTGCCGCAAACCCCATTGCACTATTCAGAATCGACACAAACGCCTATCGAGAAGTAGGCAAAAACGCACCAAAGAAAGAAGAGGTGGGATTTGAGACTGTAATCGGCATGCAAGACTCTGTACGTTTTACCCTCTGCTCGTTCCCTGAACATGCAAAGCCGAAAAAAAAACTCTCAACCAGGCATTCGGCTAACAAAACGCAAACAGTATCCAGTCCACATCATGAACATGGCCTCCGTCCACGACGTAGCCTCCAAACTCCCGGGCAAAAATCCAAAATCCAGGCACAATTGGCAAAACAGGCTCGCCCTCCTCGACGCCATGCGTTTCCGCGCAAACCTCTACATCACCGGTCCCTCCGCATTTGCCGAAGACAACTGGACAAAAGCCAAAATCTCGTCACCATCTAATTCAGAATCCTCACTCAATCTCCACGTCTCCTGCCGCACAACGAGGTGCAAGCTGCCAAATGTCGATCAGAAGACGGGAGAGCGGGATCGCAATGAGCCGTCGACTACGCTGCGGAGTTATAGGATTATTGATGAGGGGAGTAAGCATGCGTGCTTGGGTATGCAGGTTACGCCGTTGAACGAGGGGAGTGTGGCTGTGGGGGATAGAATTGAGGTGCTGGAGGTTGGGGAGCATCGGTTTATTGGGGAGTAAGGGATGATGATGGAGCCTAAATGGATGGAGAAGGGAAGAAGCATCAAGGGAAATAGTTCAAGGAGTGTCGGACATAAGGGAGAAAAACAAGAAAAATATATGGAGGGCCCGATGGGTCCTACTAGATAGTCAGAATTGAGATGGAGCGGGAATAGTTGAGGCATAATTTGACAGCACGTGCAATTTGTATTTTCTGTCAATAATATCGGCTTAGGATTGATGATGATGATATGATCCAGGCCATACAAATTCCCCATGACTCTGTTTACAACCCCATAGCAAATCAAAGGAGAAGAAAGAAAAAAAGACATAGAAACTGTCTTAACTTTTGAAAATGTGGCACATATACATAAAAACTACCACTGCATGCCTATGTATGTATAGTCCAACACCTTCCTGTCAAACCCCTTCTTTCAAACCCCATCAATCCCTCCCTCCCTTCTCCACAAGCCCCTCAACCCACGCCTCAACCTTCGCCCTCTTATCCTCCAACACAAGCGGATAATGATCACACTCCAGCTTCGTCACATCCACTTTCTTCCCCTCCCTGTCCGTCCCCACCCAACTCGCCTCGATAGCCTCAATCCCCATCTGCTGCACTTGCGGTACAACCACTAAATCTTTCTCTGCGAAAAACCACGACACAGGCACGTCTTTGTAGCCCGCATGCGTCAGGGGGTCAAGGAAACACGCACCAAAGTGGTACCCCATTTTGTCGACTTGGACAAGGGCGTCGGACAGGGGGAGGTCGCTGCAGATGAGGGCCGCGACGGGAGCCGGGTCTTTGTGGTACATCCAGCCGTCCTTGAAGTTTTTTTATGTTAGTTTGGGAAGTTAATAGTAGGTGAAGGGAGGGAGTTGGGGGGGGGGAGGAAAGGAGGAATTTACTTCGCCAGCAGAAGGAACAACACCGCCCTGGTCTCCAAGCACCTGAAAAGCGGTTTCACCGAGGCGCGGCGCCAGCGCGGTAAGATAGGCAATGCGGACCACGCCGCCTAGTTTACCCTGCTGCTCGCGTTCTTTCTTGGTTATGCCCTTGAGACTCTCGGTTGCTGGGACGCCTGTAGTCACGTGTTGTCATCAGCCATGTGCATATCTCCTAAAGTCGAGAATCCGGGCAAGTGATGTATGCGTACCGCCGTAACTGTGGGCCACGAGCACAACTTCTTTGCCTTCATCCGCTAGTTTCTTCACGTGCTCGTTGATATACCGGGCATCGGCGTACATGTTCGGTGGCGCGCCATCAGATTTGCGCTCGTAGCCTGCGGGGTAACAAGGCGGCTCGATAACTTGGATGTCGTAGCCTTTGGAACGGAGAGGCGTGGCGATTGCATCGTAGGCATTTGCAGAGCAGAAGGAGCCTGGGATCAGGACGATGGTTGGTCGGCTAGACATATTTGTTGGACTGGTAATGGATATGGGTGGTCACTAGGTTGGAGCCTTGTAGGTTGAATGTTTGGTTGGAAAGTCGATGCTAGTCCGTTCTAGATTTGCTCTACATGTGGGCGTTGCAGGTTCTTATTCTAGATGCATCTTGACCAGTTGTACATATTTGTCATCATGCTTTCCCATGGTGCAAACAATCGCTGGTGCGGGTCGCGTTGGAGTATTCTGATTGGGTTCTGGCGTCGAGTCTGCTTACGGAAGGTGGTACGGCTAATGTTACCCACATCGTGTACCACAATTACTTGGTAATGCCACCAGTTATTCGCGTGGAAGTGAGCTCGTGTAGTATCCGGACGAGTTCGCGGAGGATGCTCAAGCTGCAGGCAGAAAGTCAGCATGCACAAGCTATCATTTGACTTGATACCAATATGATGATGAGCATGCTCGTTCATACTGCCACTATCATGTGAATAATACCATTGACCACAATTACCAAAGTAAGAAGATGCAGACATTTTAGAAAAGTCATTATATTAGATCATTAAACAAAAAAATGAATCATCATCATGCGTAACGTCCTAGTAACCGTCATTCACAGCCCCGTTTCATCCCATCATCCAATTCGTGTTATGCCTCTTAGATGGTAGGTGTAGCGATGCGGCCGCTGTCTTGGGCAGTAAGGCTGTATGAAGCAGCGCAAATGGTGCGGTACTCATCGGATTCCCAGTGGTAGCCAGTGTTGGTGGCATATTCAGGGCCCCAGGTCTGAGTATAGAGGGCGCAGTAAGTTCCGAGAGGAACGTCGTTCTGAGTCAAGATGTAAGAGGTGAAGAAGTTGCATGGCCTGTACTCGCCGCTGGCATCGACGAGGTGCTCCTTATCGAAAGCGGTCTGGGCCTCGCAAGCAGCAGCGCAAAGGCTGGGGTCATAGGGGTTCTCGTTGAAGAGGCGCATGCCATTGTAGGTGTAGTATTCACGGTTGTTCTTGGTGATGTAAGGAGCATCGATAGCAGCGGGAAGTTGGGTTGGTGCATTGAAGCGGGGCACAACAGGAGCATTCCTGCAGACGGTACCTTGGCGCTTAGAGTATCCTGTTTTGACATAAGCTAAAGACACTTAAAGAGGACAAAGTGAACTTACCGTTACTGCCAGCAATGACAACTTGGAATTGCTCGCGGTACTGGCCATCGTTGATAGCCGTGTTTGCGGAGACGGGGTATCCGAAGAGAGCGCACTTGAGGTTGGTCTGGGGCTCAGGATCCGTGCAGGAGGCGGAAGGCGCGTATTTGGGATCACGCTCGTAGTAGATGTTGAAGCCAAGGCAGAACTTCTCGCTATCACAGAAGTCGGCGCATGCCTGAACATTGTAATTGCCAGTCTCAATGTTCTTGTAGGTCAAGTAACCAATCTGCTGGGTGGCTTTGTTAAGGCCCTTGAAAGCCTCATCGTAGCCGGCAGGAGCAGTTGCTCCATCAGCATTGCTCTTGAGCACATTGTTTGTGGTGGCAAGGTAGGCACCAGCAGAGCCATCACCGGGAACAGGTGCAGCACTGCATCAATGGTTAGCTGATTTGATTGACCATAAGTTTCTACATTATCGACCTACCCTCCTGCCTCCACAGTGCCGCTGCAAGAGGTTGAGCGCTTCCTGGTCTGCACACCGTTGTTGCTGACATCTTGCTTGACCTCTTGCACGGCAGCGGGCTGGTTGTACTTGATTGGGGCGTTTGGCTTCTCATCAACCTTTGGCTTGAGGAGTTCAACACTGGGCAGAGGAAGAGCCTTAGCAGCCTCAAAGTTGGGCCTCTGGGGAAGGGCGGCAGCCAAACCGCTGATGGCGGAAACAGCGAGGAGAACGTTGCGCATCTTGAAGGATGAGTTTGGAGTAGAGGAAGTGAGTTGGGAGTGAAGGTTGTGAGGTGCGTTGGATGATGATCTTCAACCAGCGGGATGGGATGTCTTACTTATACAAATTGAAAAAGCATCGCGATAGAGCTATGATTCAAAACTTGGACCAAGCGGCATGGTGCTAGCAGCAAGCCGCTGGTGTTGCTAGCCATGCCCCAAAGCCTGGGCGACGGACGAGCAGCTGGGCTCTGTGACGGCGAGGCTTGACGACTTTACCAGATCGGGAAGCAGTGGAAAGAGTATGGCGAGTGGGAAAGATGGGAAATGGGTCGTGGAGCCGTGGGCTGTTGACTTTGGTGGCGTACATGCTCAGTGATGCCGAAAGGTACCAGGGCTGTGCGCAGATGGGGATGCGCAGGGAATGCCATTGCCAAAGTGGTACGAGTCGTCAAGCCACATGTGCGGCCAGCAGCTGGATATGTCGCCCTCACCGAAAGGGTTGGGAAGGGCGGTCATGGGGGCGTCAAAGAAGCCTACCCAGAATAGCATCGGGAGAGAGACTGAGGCCAAAGCTTATCAGACGAACAATGAACAGGTCCGTGCTGGTCGGGTCTTGTTGCCAAGGGCGGGAGATAGCTTGTCTCAACTCTTATAAGCGTAGCGATTTTCAGGCACCACGCCCACGCCGCCAATCCGAAACGGATACGCTTGGTCCAAACAGACTAGCCATACCTTGCCTCTCCAGGCCTAGCGCATCGGCTAGCACGCTGGTATCTGCAGTGTCCAATATCTAGTATCAGTTACCCTGACGTGACCAAAGGCCCGTCACCTCGCATACCATTCCATCGCTGGAGCGCCGTCTGACTCTACACACCAAGTACACACACACACACACATACATGCACGCTCTGCTTCGCTCCAATGCCTAACACTTGCAAACTCGCATATGCAGCGGCGCGTGTTGAACATGCCCAGGCGAGCGGTCAAGACCTGGCGTCAACATGACAATATTGAGCCGTTGTGCCTAGTACCGCTAGCTAACAAACATCGATGCCCCCTGCAACGTGCAGCGCCATTTCTGTCGACTATCCGACCGACTGGTCCGGCATCATGGGCAGCACCCGGCTTTGGCCTCGTTCTCCCACCACTGCGGACCTCTGTCCACGCCAACTGATCGATGAGCATCATGGGCACGACCCGGCCAAGAGGATAACCATGCGATCGGATGAATTTTGTTTCTAGCTCTCATATCAACGAGTTCGTCTGCTTGTCGTCACTGATTCTTCCTGGCGCATCCTGATTTGACTTGGAAACCACCTCGCCATACTTACACTCATCACAGAATCCTTAGCGCGTTTCGCTCCACCCTTCTAGACACTGCATCAGCCATCGCTCAAGTCCGACCAGTCTTTTGTCTGCCACGATGGTGGTTTGTGTAGACACAAGCTGAGATGCGGGGCTAGTCCCGTTCTCCAACGTGGCAGTCACGGTCATAACAGGCCATGAGGCCATGCTAGCAACCTTGTTCCTTGCATAGCGCTAACCAATTCCGAGGGCTTAGAAGCGAGTGCCTTCAACGTTCCGAGTCAGAACCCACCACTGGGCATGTGGCTGGCTTCAACCGATCGAAGCGACCTTTGAATCATTACAGCGCAAAATAAGAGCACACTTAACAATTGCTTGAGTAAGGGCGTCCGGTCAATGCGCGACGTTTTCCGTCACTCTGAGTACCGTGCCATGGTAATCGCAAATTACCTACACATACTTACACATTTACGAAAATCTCGAACGTGGATCTATCGGCGCAAAGCCTGAGCCTATGAAATACTAGGCGCTCCCCCACCTCTGTTGTTTGGCTACATCAAGGCTGAAACCAAATGATCGTGTTCATGCCCAGCACATCACAAGCATGATCCACAATATTCCAGCCACTGCATGCGGCTCGCCTGAGGTGTGCTCGACTACGACTCTTCAGAAGCCAGACGTCAAGCGCCGGTACCGGTCAATGTGGGCCTGAAGATTTCCAGCAACTTTGTCAATGCCACTCGTATCCCAAAGCTTGTGCAAGATGCGATGCCAAAGTGTCACTTCAGATAGGTTTTACATGTTTGATCAATGGCAAGGTGAGCGACAACGATAGAAACCGTTGGCTGGGCTTAGGTCACTCGCCTATCCACGCTCTCGGTGCCTCCAAGGCCATAGTTTTGCAAAATCGTTTTCTCCATTGTTCGCTTAGGAATAGGGCGTAACTAGTGAGCTTGGTTATTCCCTAAGCCGTAGCAGCACAGAAACACACCGCTGCTTTGGGACATAGTCTAGTCTTCACTCAGCTCGCCCACAGTACGCTACGCAGACTAATCGGCCTCGCGTATAACTCCAGAGGCGCTCTGGGCACTCTATAGCCGTGCCGTCCCGTTGCAGAAATACCTGCATATTCACCACAGCCTGCAAGGCGTAATGCCGGGTCAAATGTAGGCGAGGCCGATGAGACCTGGAGAGCCGCGTCTGGCGAGTGTGAGGACCTGGCTCTAGATCTCTAAGACTGTACACATTTAACATAATGCTATTGTCAGATCAAGATAATCCACTCTCAAACCCCGCAATCCCGCTTATGCATCAAGCGTATGGACGTGCTGGCCATTGATAGGGGTTCTGGACCTTACGAAGAGTCCAGCTACATTGTCAGGTGACGGTATGCTCCATCGGCGGGGCCTAAAAGACCCTCGACGAGGCTGAGCTGAACGGATGTACTGGTCATGCCATGTCCAGTCTTCGTGTGCTCATTCTAGCCAGTCGTTTTTAGAATACCATGTTCATACGCTAAAGTAGAACAGATACGTTGCTTTCAAAATTTCGACACTTCCATTTCAGGATCTATGCTACTCAACAACACGCCACTTGTGCCACTCGCGTGACTATAGAAGAAGAAACTCAACAGCTCATCTGCACTGCCTGGTATGCTAATTTGGAATGATATCTTCACCTCCAGCCAATGAGACATCTCGCTATCCTATATCCTATTTATACATGTTCGCTTGCGTCAGAGAGATATACACGTTGATACATCTCGCAAAGCGATATGCCGCCATCTGACGCCACCATTATCCGCCACGCATGCATATACTATTGCCCATCTGCAAGGGAGAGAGACAACGACTTGGTGTATGTACCTACATTCCTTCTTCCCTCACTCATACTCTAGAAGACATGATTACTTGTCGTCAACAATACAATTATCTGCATTCGTGCTCACACTCGCACTCGCTCAACCCCCATGCCTTTAACGCCGCCATGATGAATCCACGGGCGTTGTTTATCTTGCCGACCTGAAGACTGAAACATCCCTCCTTGTTGTGTTTGAAACATGACCGAGCGAGCGAGTAAGCACCACGCCTACGCGCCCAAATATGACTCAGTACAATCATCTGGAACTTGCTAGAGAGCAACAAACCAACTATGAGTCTGAATGTTACAGCCATACCAAGCTATGTTTATTTTTATTTGTTTGGTTGTTTGGTGGCCTTGTTTCCCAATAGCCGGAACACCGGCACTTGCTTTGCGCCGCCGTCCGACCCGCTAACCTGCATTGATGATCGCTTTTTGCACCTGCAGCAAGGCAGGGCAAGCGAGGCAGGAATGGGCTGACGAAGAAAAAGAAAAAAGGGCAAGATAACCCTAGTTAGTCCATTCGCTTACCCACGTGGGCTTTTGTGCCGTATCCTTGGAAAACAAAGCGAGATTTACACGATTGCCCCGTTTGGCTGGATGCTGTTTTTACGCGTCTTTGCTTTTTTTGCTGAATTCCCCTTTTGTTTGCTATTTGCGGAAGCGGGAGGGATGAATGCTTTTGTGGTTGTTTTTGTGCCTGTTCGCGTTCGCGTTGGAAGGGGGGAGTTGTCGGTTTTTGGGTCTAGATTGCTTCGGTAACCGCTTTTTTTTTATTGTAGAAAGAGAGAAGGGGTTATCCTCAGTATAATATTCACCGTGGTGAGCTTGGTACATACAGAGTTTATTTGCGTGTGTAGGGAGCGCACGGGTAGCTGGCAGGCAGAGCTCGCAGGGCTGAACTCAGCTGTGGGGGTTATTCTCCGTTTACAATGTCCGAGCTCATTCTTGCGAATGCATTTCCAATTTGGCGGTGTGTTAGGGATATTTTTCTTTCGTCGTAGAAATCTGAGATTGTTCTGGCATTGCATCCTAAGCCTAGCATTGCTACTGCATTCTGGCATCGCATTCACAGTGTGACAGCGCATCGATATGTGACAAACCCCCACACGTGTGAACATAACGCTTGGAAAATTTCTCGACGCAAAAACACATGAGTGGTGTTACCTAGTCTTGGTCATGTCTGCGTATCTGGCAATGAGTAGAATGTTCTCGTGAGACATGCGACGGTGATTGTAGTAGCAATCATACGAACAATCCCAATCGCAATCATAACGGCCATGGGAAAAAGATAGCAACGACAAACATAGTAGCAATCTATTCATAACTCATACAGTAATTGATACGGCAGCTACATACAATAAGCATAAGAACAGCTCAGTTTTCGATTATGAATGGATCACATCATCTCCTCCTTTATTGCGTATATAAACTCCTGCGAGAACTTTCTAAGCAGCATATCAGACTTCCAGAAGAAGGCAGAATCTGCACTGAATACCTGGAACAATGAACAACGCCTTGGACCCCAAAGTTTACTATCTCAACAAGTTGGGACTTCTGTGCTCTATCTTTCTTTTCGGCTTGGTGCACATTAGCATGCACTTTGCATGGGACAATGACCCGTTCGATTGGCTCACTACAGCATCGAGCGACAAGAGTACAAAAATTCGGCAGGCGTTGCGTCAGGAAAACGATCTCGAGGGATCGAAGCTGATCGACATATCGTTTGACCACACGCACCTTATACAAAGCCGAAGATTGCTATAACAGTGAGACACATCCTCGTCGACTCGTGAGCAGAGTCTGCACAAGATTCTACGCGCATATTTCGACGGCCTTACACTATCAATGAACATCTACAATACAGATGTATTGTGTGGAGATGCGCAATTCGAATAATTAGTCACAAGCGTCGATTCAACATTGGCACCTATCTTGGAGCGCACGCAAATATCGACAACCACCATGAAGGAAAGGCTCATTCGAAAACCTCCAAGACATCGAACTGAAGGGGCATTCGCGTCAACGTACATGCATCCCAGCAACTTGACGGAGGGAATATATCATACACGCGCGCGGACAACGACATGACGAGGTTCACACCAGTAGTCAGGTCATTCCAACCGAGGCAGCATCAAGCTCAAGCTGCACTTGAATTCTTCTGGCCCATATACTTCCAGCGAAAGCAGTATAAGCACCTCCAACAATTCTCCACATATACATTGTAAAACAAATACAATCTCTGATATACCCCATCCTGCTGTCGTCGAGACAAAGACTCCACCCATATATCTAACACACAACATGACAGGCCGAACAT